TCCTATCTAATGGCAGACGTGCCAGTCTTATATAGAACCTTCGTCCTCTCCTGGATCCATCAGATCCCTTTGGATCCCTTCGGGATCTATCCGGGTCCATCACGTGACAGTAACCAATGGAAATCCTTGGATCGCTTAGCTACTCTAAGCGATCCCTATTATAAGAAACCTGGGTGTGCACTGTCGAGGGTTGCGCCTCCTATTATGACATGTATCACGTGGACACGTGATTCGCGACAGTATAAGCTTTATAATAGCTAAATTACGTTCTATATTTAATTTTCCGAGACGTTTAGGAACCTACCTAGACGCTCCCGAACGTACAATCGTAAGTATATAGGCTATATTACGTACTTAGTAGTACTTCTATATACTTAACCCTAATACTAAAAAAATATAATTATTAAATTCGGCCGATTTAGCGAAATTTAATAAGCGCGTATTATAAATAGGTTAACGTATAGTATTTATAATAAGAGGTTAGTCGCGTAGAGATAATTAAAGGCTAAGGACTTAGAAAAAGTTAGTGGTTTACTAACCTAGGTGTGACAGACGTGCTTCAGGTAGAACTCAGAACAATTAACACTCTATTCTTAGGACAAAAGACGAGGAAAGAAGGAGAGCTCAAGAGAGCTGGGAACTAAATACAGGTCGTGCGCGCTAGCGCCTCGCTAAGCGAGCATGTGACATCCAGCCCTCGTGACCATAACCGTCACACTAGGAGTAGCGATTTAGAGTAAGCGTACTATTTATTTAAGTAGGGTAAAGTAGGTATAGTACTAGTTTTTTAGGTTACTTTATACCTATAGGACCGACTTTGTCCTATAGTAATTAGGGTTAGTATAGTACTAGTTTGGGTAGGTGTCGTATCTACTCTAGATCGGTGCTATACCTACCCTAATTACTATAGGTAAAAATCGGTACTATACCTACCGGGTGTTTCACAGGGATCTTTTAGTACCGAAATCGGGCCGAATTTAGTATAGAATACGTAATTTATAATAATAGACTACTTTAGGGCTATTTTACTTAATACTATATATTATCTAGTAAAATCGGAAGAGATAGAAAGGAAGGAAACGTTAAGATAAAGCGATCTTATAAAGGACTTAATATTTGTAATTATTCTTTTATGTTTTTTCTATAAGTGATTATACCGAGTTTTAGTATAAAAAGGGTAAATAGCTTAGACTTTCCGCCTAGTACTATAAACCCTGATAATTTACCCCCTTTTAAATAACTATATAACTACTAGAAAGGCATTAAAGAATAATCCCCTCGAAGGACTTAAGCCCTAGAAGCGTAGCTATTTAATAGTATAAGGGAGCTATTTTATAATTTCGCGTTTATACTTTTAGTATTTCTTAAAATCTCGTTCTTAACCCAGGTCACGAATGCCGCTATAAGCAAGCCGCTTCTTTATTTGCCTAACCATACCTATGCTCTACTTATATAGTCTCCTAGCTAGAAAGAAAGTAGTAACACATAGCCTACTTCTTGTCGTAACTTAATCCATAGTATTTGATTGTTCCAACTGTTTTAAGCAAGTGAAAAAGTAAACGTAGCCATAAGTCTTGGGACAATTCGAGTAGTTCTCCTAGAATATTCGGGGTTGACACCTACAGTATAAGAAACCTAGAAACAAAGAATAATAAGAGAAATGTCTACTCCTACTTTTTTTCTCTTCTGCGAGATTATTTCTACAACTTGAACTCCCGGGCCTTCCCTTCCACCGCCACCGCTAAATCCTCGTTTTTCACCAAACAACTTCCGTTATCCTTCTGCATACTCTGTGGAACATCAAGAGCCGGGTTCTGGTCAAAGAAACCACTAGGCTTCAAGCTCACCGTCATAGTATCACATGGCATGACAGGATAATCTTCCGTCCTCGGATTATGCGTCAAGCTAATAGAATGCCAGACGACAATATCCGTATTCTCGGTTCTATCTCTCCGTGCTGCCCAAGAACCCAGATCACTAGTAAGATCGGGATGGGATTGGTACGTGTAGTCTCCAGCAGCATAGAGTTCGTTGTCTCGATGTGTGGTTACCCAGAAGGGATGGAATGCGTATTTTGCACGTCGACCGTGCCATGAATCGGGATGGGCCAGTAGCATTTGTTTCCCTGGACTGTGGATGGCATAGGACACGGGTGCACCGGACGATTTGTTAATACTGGTTGGATTGATGATTTTATGAACTCGATTAGGAGCTGAATCGGACGGACTGGAAGTGGAGATGATCCGATTCTCGGTCACGTAACCCACACCGTACGGATTTTGGTCATTCCAAGGCATGGGAACAGAGTCCTCTTCCAGAAATGTATTATTGTCCCCGTCAATGCAAGGATCTATTCGAAGGCTGAATACATGTTGATGAAATGGAGCCAAGACGTCGTCGTTTACTCTTGTTCCAAATGGAACTGTAACTCCTCGGTCAATGGGAGCCGTCGACAGGATGCCGGTCGCTTGGATCTTGTAATGTAATCCAGCAGCTTGATCCAAGTGCCACATAAAAACGTACTCGTAATTCCCGACCGTAATGATGGTTTGCAGAACCAGGACCCGAGAGCGGACAATCGAGACTCCGCCCGTCCTAGAATTGGTATGCTTCCATCCGATACCATCATCGATCTCGTGCATGCAAATTGCATTTGGCTTCTCTACAGGGTTTCCTTGTGAGTTTGTAATGACGAAAGAAAAGTACTTGACGATTAATCAGCTATACGGCCATACAAGGATGGGTTATGACTACCTTGATGACACCAAGACAATCGCAACCGAGAGCCAAGTTATTAGCCGCTACACCAGCGCCAATATCTCCAACATCAAATACGCTCTTTCGAGAATATGGCATCCTAGGATCTCCGTAGGGTACAAACATCTCACTCAGACTCAGACGATGGAATAACTCACGCCCATCGTAAGTCACGTCATGCAGAACCATACCCTCTCTCCAGTTGAAACCCAGCCGAAATCTCCATTTCTGCCACTTGATCAAATAGCCGTCAATACTGAAAGACACACCCTGCGGCTGATATATGACTAGGGGCTTGAGATCAGTACGCGCTGGTTGGGCTTGGAGTTCGTGATGGTATTCCTTCGCTGGGTGGGGCTCGTAGACTGCGTTAGGTTTCAATGATGAGTCGGAGCCTGTGGGCAACCGTACTATATCGATGACCTCTTTCTTCACCATATCTACTATTGGAGAGAACGGAAGGGGATTATCGTAGTGGTTTGAGCCTGGATGGTTTCTTTCAGCGAAGAGGTAACACTGCCATACGTTAGCAAATTTTGACTCCAATCAAGAAGCATGTTTACCTGCACAAAGCGCGGGGTTTGAGTGTTATTGTCTCGCCCATATGGCCTGTAATAAGGAGAATTAGATACGTCCTTTCAAATTGGACGTAGAAACTCGATGGAAGCAATACGGCAACAGATTTTTCAGGACATATTAAGAGAGGACAGAAAAAGCGGACATAGGCAAGCAAGAATACCAGCGCCGAACTCAAAATTTAGTCGGCTATCATGTATGGTAATGTCCATACTTGCTTCAAGAGCCACCTGGTGTAAAGCAATCGTCCTCATTACCCCAGTATATCAGGAGCATCAAAAGCAGTATAACTTCTCCCAGGATCACTATTCCAACAAGTATAGTGCGTAAACGAAACCTACCCCAAACGGGGTTGTAGCTCCTAGAACTCACAAAATGACGCGGAAGAATGAGAACCAAGCTTCCAAATCTCGTTGATACCATTGTGGACACAACCTCAACTACTTCGCATCAACTGTCTTCCAAGATACAAGCTCAAACACCTACAGAGCATGGCTCACAGGGAAGAAATTGGAAGATAAAGAATAAAACATAAACATACCAAGTATCACAAACAACCTTCATTCCCTCAGGCAATCTAAACGCTCTCACTTGCTCCTTCACCTTCTCGTCCCTCAGACAAACCTCCCTCATCTCCAAAATCTCATCAATATCCGCCTGTGCATGAAAGTGACCCTCCACTTTCTTCACCTCCTCCAATTTACCTGAGTCCAGGTTCACAGTGACATGAATAAGATCTGAAGTTCCGCGATGGTAGTACAAGCTCTCGGCTCGTCTCGTCAGAGAAGGTCCAGACATGCCGGAAACCCCAGAGGCATTGCGCTCAGCCTTCAAGAATTCTCTAAGTAGGACTTTCGGCGGTTCGAGCAGGGAAATGAGTTTAAAGTGTAGACTTTTGTCCGGTGATGCTTCTTTAAGGAGAGAGGAAACTTGGAGGATTTCGGCGGCGGAAAGGGGATCCAGTGGATGTTTTTGAGGATGGGATGCCATTTAGTCTATTTTGACGTGTATGCAGTTGCCACTCTTGGAAATTTGACGACTTGGTAACGAATTCCCGGTTGACTGAATCTGTCTGCTACCGGGTGCAATGCAGACAAGGTAATGGAACGACAAATGCTTGGTTTGAAGGTAAGAGCCTCGGAAGACTTAAGGTAGTCAATGACTTCATATGCGAGATTCGCTGTCTTCCTTGCCACAGCATCCCACTAAAATAGGTATGACCTCGACCCGGCCAGATAAGGAAAATCACGTGCATCTATAAAATCCCACCTTCGAGGCGACATCCAGACAATCAGTTCCGGCCTAATAGCATTTAATGTCCATTTATTTAACCTGATTTATTCTAGAACTTTGGAATAGAACAATAACAAATTCCAACTAGCTGGAACCACGTAACCTAAGCTGCCTTTTCTACAGCGGCCCCAAAACAAAAACAGTAGAAGAAAAAAGTATTACATACGTTGTGCTAAAATTTTCTACTTTGACTATGTGTACACCGTAATCTCAAATGACAATCTTCTCCAGGGAATACTTTCCAACCTTTTGACTCTTACGATTACCGATATCTCTTGACGAACGGACATTGATTTCGCCTCCACCACCAACCCTTACGCGTGAAACCAACTGCTCTGCTTTCAATCCTAGAGGTAAAAGCCTTTGATCAGGATCTGCAGACTCCAGAGTAATGGGCTTGTGTTTCTTGTTGGCGGGCGTTCCCTTCTCGCCCTTTGGCTCCTTTGGAAGAGCATTTTGGACCGCTTGTCCATAACGAACCATTTCTGATATGATCCCTTTCAAATAGGTTGCTTCCTCGATAGCTTCCAAGGCAGCACTAACTTCGAGCTTCAGCCCCGAAACTAAGTCCTGTGCATCGAAGGGATCGCTTCGAACTAATCTCGTGTCCCCCGACAACCAACCACCAGCACCCACGGCATCAATGCAATTACAGAGCAAGCTTGATATGAGAATGATTGCATTCTCAGAGCTTGGATATTCATCATTGACCTCCGATGGATCAAAATCAAGATGCTTGGAGGTCCAGGAGCCTTCTGAAAGTTGCATGCGGAGTAGATACATGACAGCGACAGTATCTTGAGTCGACAGATGGGACTGGAGTGCCTGTACGATGGAGTTTGTTGGACAAGCGTAGAGTTTCGTAAACGCCGCGCTGATGGCCTGTCCCCGTATGCCAGCCCCAGGCCCTAGCTGGTATTCTGCAAAATCCAAATCACGCTCAGCTTCCTGCTCCAATTGCTCCAATTGATCTTCAATAGCACCATCAGCCAGATCTGTCTCATCTCCATTCGTGAGTAAAAGCTGCTTTGTGTGATCATTGCCGCCGCCAATTTCAAGGCTTTCCATTAGTAGTCGAAGCGCACAAACAAGCTCAGCAGCGTCCAAGTGGTTGTTTCTGATAAGTGCGAGTAAAAACTCCATGTCGGGATTGATTTCACAAATGGCATTCACCAACTCGCCTGATGAAATCGACGATTGAGCATTCGCAATTTTTAGAGCAGCTTGAATGTTTGTTACAGTCATAAAACCTGCTGTTATGAGCCACATAAATGATTTTGGTGTATAAAATGAAACGGCAAGTTGCCGTTTTCCTGAGTCTAACTCGACGCAAGAGAACAATTTACTAAGAGCGTACAAAATCCATCGTCTGTCCGTTGCGTGGGCTTTTCTTTTCAGAGCATCGTCGAAGTTTTGGTCCTCTGTGGTTGACAAAGAGTCTCGGGTTTTCTTCACTTTTGCGCTAAGAGTAGAAATCATGAGCTCATCAAACTTGTCGATGTCCCCAGCGTTAAATGATTTCTCCAAGATCTGCATTCGACTAGTCCAGGTTGCGTCCGATGTTTTTGCGGTCATGGAGGCTGCCTGGTATGCTGACAGGGTTTCTGAATCGAGCTTTGCAATATTGGAGTCGCTAATTCTATGTCGTTGGTGTCCTGGAATGGCACATCCAATGGAATCTATCAGGAGTCCTGCAGCGCGCGCTCTTCCTTTGCGATCATATTGCCCTTCGATTTGTATCCCGACGAGGTTGCTATCAACAATTGCAATTGCTGCTCCAAGTTTGGGAAAGTATGCTTTGAGCGCATGTGATCCCGCTGGTATGCTCTTACTTTCGTGTTCAGAATCTCGCTTGCGCTTAAGCGATTCTCGATCACCAGAAAGACCCGTGTCAACAGTCGCTAGTATTGATTGATATTTTGGGCTAATGACACTGAGATTGTCTTCGGACGAGAGGAGGATTGATGTATTGGACAGACGTAAGAACGACTTTGCGGTGTTAGTTGAGAGGGAGGATTGTTCTTTTAGGCCTGTTTCAGTCAGGTCAAATGTGGTCAGGGTATTGTTGTGGAGCTGCATTAGTGTTCCTGTAGAGACCTGTATGCTAAAAGTGGTCGCTCCTTGGGAGGGCGCACTCGAAGTGAAGGGAAAGGCAGCAAACAATAATGGGTGAACCGAGTGTTGCAAACCATTAACATGAACAGACGACCTTCTAGGCAGAGTGACAATATGTATCCTTCTTGAGGAGGGATTTGCAGTGGTCTTGGAAATCAAGACGAGCATATCAGGGTTGAAGGCATCCTGGGAAATTTCTTCATTGAACATTGCAAAGATATCCTGTCGACCCTTGAAGACTCCTTGGGATACTGCGAATGCGTTTGTCATGTGCGCATACTCGATTTCGGCTTCAATGGCTTGTCCTGCATCTTGTGTGACAAGAGCGGCGGCCGGAGAAATCCATTTTTCTTGCAGAGTTTCCCCATCCAGACAATGGATTTCTCCATCCTTCTTGACGACCAACAAGTCTAAGGCACCTGCGAGCGCCTCAGGTCCCATTGTCGCGGCCGTCGTGCTCATGAAAACAATGGGGTTTTCTGTTTTCTGGATTACGTGGGAAGTAGTCGCGGAGGTCGTGCTCGAAGGGCCTTCAGTCACATCTCGAAAGAGCGTCACTTGCGCCTGCGTCCACGAAGTCGATGCGTATGTGCGTCGTTCAGCGCGCGTTTTTGAGATTCGAATTCTCACGGAACTTGGAGCGCAGGTAAAGGATGATAGTGGCGGCAAAGCATATGAAGTGATGAGTTTCGAAGAAGAGATCTGAAAATAGATTAGCTTCCATCACCATCTCATTACGCGCCAGAGCGAAAGGCAGAATCGTACATCGTAGAGGTTAATTCCCTCGCCATCTATCCCAATTGCCAATTCGGACCTCTTTCGTTTCTTTGCGCCAGCGCCTACTGCCCCGCCAAAAACCTCTCCAACCACATAACGCCCATTGTTAATGTCAATGGGTCTTGGCAAAGATGCCACCACGTATGGATTCTGCAGCGAGAATTTGGACGGCATCGTAGAATCGAACTCTGCCGTGGGTGTTGTCGTATTGTGCAGCTGGAGTTGGGTTGGCGGTCGACGAGTACTTTTGCTATCAAAAATTATTTTGGCAGATCCAGGGATTTGCAGGGGCTCAGAGGAGCATGGGATGGGCTAGGTACGGCGGACCAAGCGACATACTAGTGCAAGCTTGAGTACTGTACTCCACTCATACGCTGAGACCAAGCGCTAGAACAGTGGCTCAAGAGGTAGGGTGGCTCGAGGTGGCGCTGGATGTGGCTGGTGCTACCGTTGTGGCTAGTGAGGCTAAAGTGGCTGGTACCCCTGCGAAAAGTTTAAGTGCTCTTTCCTTTCAGCGCGTGTCAGTCGCGACTTTCCCAGAAGTGTGAGTTTGGGCACCACTGTATTCACTGTCTACACTAGCTCTGCTCTGTATGTTGGTACCTCACCATCCATACTGTTCACAAGATCGCACCTGCGTCCGCAAAAGAAGAACCTTACTCTTACCTTGCACAGTGTCAACGTCACGTCACCAATACTAAACTCCCTCGTACTTTCCTCAATGGTGCTATCGACATCCCCATCCAGCTGTAGCTAGAACGCGTGCTTCTCGCGTAGCGGATGGCAGCTCTGGCCACCACCATCATGACTCTGGGGGAGATCAATGAGGGCCCAAAGAAGGTCTTCCCCCTCTTCCAGCGACCCTCAAGTAAGATCTGGATTGCGCTCCGAAGGAAATGCTGTGCTAATTGATCCAGCAAAACCAACGGTCCCCGCCCCGAGTCAAACTGACCCGACGATCCCCTCGAAGGTCCTGAACCCGCCAAACAAGAATGGCAGCAAGAAGAAGGCCACCGCAGGCAGCAAATTAAAGCAGGAGATTAAGAAGGGGCCCCTCGACGTACTTGTGTTTGTGGAGCAGGACAATGGGAACGGGACTGCTCGATCAGAACTCCTAACGATCGATCCAAACAACGGCAGAAGGAAAAGACGGAAAACTGCCTCGCAAAGCAGCAAGATAGAGACAGGAACCCCTCGAGACGACGATGTGGTCGTTATTGAAGGACCTCCGCCAAAAGCTCGCCGTGGCAGGCCGAAAAGAAGTACGAAGGAGGAAAGCTCCTCCAGACCATTAGAAACACCAGCTGTGGAAGCAAGTTTACTGGAGGACCATTTCATACCAGCTTTGCCTTCGATAACCGGGCTGGGTCGAGCAGTCACAGACAACTCCTTTGAAACACCTATTCTCTCGAGCAAGACTGGGTTCACTGCATCACTAATCACGGCAAACGGTCTAGCTAACTCAAACAATGGCATGGAGGTTACATTAGCTTCGACAAAAGAAGTTACTAGTGATGCCAGTATTGTGGATATCAAACCAAAGAAAATTCTACGTTTCAATCCCAAAACTGGGACCATTGGATCTCCTCCCCCCCAAAAATCGGTGCCTACCAAAGAGGCGGGAAGAAAAGCCGCCTCAAAGACGAAAATCGTCATCATCTGCTATGGTGAAAACCACAATCTACCACTGGAAATTGGACAGAAGATAGAGGAAATATTGAATGGTCCCACCAAAATCCCGCCAACTGCCCCAAAACAATATACAGCACCACCAAACGCAGAAATGCCTCCGACAAATATCGCAAAACCGAAACCTGTGCATCCACTATTCACCGGTAAAGCTACTGGAAAGCCATCTACAGCAAACCAGAAACCAGCAGAAGTCCCTCCAAACCAGCCCAGAGTCAGTCCTAGAAAAGCTGCTGTGACTAGTCGCATTGGAACCCAGGCGTATGACAGACCGCAATCACCAACGAGGGTCATTGCTCCTAAATTCTCCGGTTTTGGAAACTCCACCGGCATATTAAAATTCCCTGGTGCCGTAGAGCCTGCGTGGCCATGGGAAGGAACAAATCATGTTCGAGGAGAGACGGGAATTTCTAGACAGGACGCCGAGGAGACCCCCCCGTCTCTTGTTAGAATGACTAAGAAGGGAAAATACCAGGCGATCGAGGTATTATCCACTGAGGACATTATCTCTCGATTAGCGACGAGCTTAAATGTTGCACTTGTCACAAGAGAGATACAAGAGATCAACCTTGATGAGTTTCCTTCAGTACCTCAATGCCTACGCATTCCCAATAAGCACTATCAGGGGGGGACCATGTTGCAAAAGCGCTCGCGCAAGGAACTAAGCATGAAACCTCCTTTCACCAAATCAACGCCAACTTTGGACGACGACGAGCTTCAACAGCCAGGTGTGACGCAGAAACAGGTGCACCCAGCAACATCACGAGTCTTCAAGTCCATTGCGACTTCGCTATCTGCGTTTGATCAGGGTATTTGTGAAACACAATCGTGGGTACAAAAATATGCACCAAAATCTGCCTCGGAAGTGTTGCAACAGGGTCGCGAAGCAATGATATTAAGAGAATGGCTGGAAAGTTTGACGGTGAAAGCTGTGGAAACGAAAATGGCCGATTCCAAATCACAAGCCACACACAACGCTGAGGGCAATGGAAAACGAAAACGAAAATCCAAGAAACTTGATGGATTTGTTGTTTCCAGTGACGAAGACTTCGACCTGGATGAGATTACAGATCCAGAAGATGACCTTGCTGGCCCTGGCGGTTCTCTGAATGGGAAGAAAACAGTTGTCAGGCCTATTGTTGCGGCCAAAGACTCCAAGCGACTTCCAAATGCTGTTGTGATAAGCGGCCCCCATGGCTGCGGGAAGACTGCTGCTGTTTATGCTGTTGCAAAGGAGCTTGAATTCGAAGTTTTTGAGATCAATTCTGGCAGTAGACGCAGTGGGAAGGATATCCTGGAGAAGGTTGGCGATATGAGTAAAAATCATCTTGTCCAGCAATCCCACAATTCGATTTCTGTGGACGAGGAAAACCTTCGTATCGATGAAGCCTTGGCTAAAGACATAGAGAGTGGTCGCCAAGGAACCATGAACTCGTTCTTCAAGAAAAAGGAGCCCGCTGTATCAAAAGCCAAAGACCCCAAACCTGCGACGAAGTCGAAAAAGGCAGTCGGAATCAAGAAGTCCGATTTACCGACAAAGCCTCCTATGCAACAAAAGAAGCAATCTCTGATTCTTATTGAAGAGGCTGATATCATCTATGACGAAGACAAACTCTTCTGGTCTACCATTCTCACACTTGTTGCTCAATCCAAGCGACCCGTCATCATAACCTGTAATAATGAGTCCGCGATACCATTACAGTCTTTACTATTGCATGCGATTATTCGGTTCACTCCACCTCCGGTCGATCTCGCAGTCGATTACATGTTGTCGGTCGCTGCTTGTGAGGGCCATGTTGTAAAACGCGATGCAGTCAGAGTACTATACGAGACTCGAGGCTGTGATCTTCGAGGTTCCTTGATGGAGCTGAATTTTTGGTGTCAATTTGCTATTGGTGATGTTAAGGGAGGTTTGGATTGGTCCTACCCTCGCTGGCCAATTGGTAGTGATGTAGATCAGAATGGAGAGAAGGTTCGCGTCACCAGCGAAGGGACGTACCAGAAAGGTATGGGCTGGCTCAGCCAAGACATATTGGAAAGCCACTCTCACGACCTCAACGTTGAAGAGGAGATGCTCCATGAGGCTTGGGATGGATGGAATCTAGATGCTGGGGACTGGCAAAAATCGATCGAAATCGACTCCTGGGCGAAGAAAATGAAGGCTGAATCAACCAGCCGAGAAAGTGATATCGCCGCTCTTGGCATCTATGTAGACTTCACAGAGGCAATGAGTGTTGCAGATATATGTTCTGGCGGGGCTTTTGGAAATGATAACCAGGTATGCATTCTCTTATTTGTCCCTATCTCGTACTAACATCTATAGATTCTCATCGATATTGAGCAACCAGTCTTGACTTCTAAGGCCCGGGAAGACTACATTCTTGCATATCCCATTGTTGAAGCTTTGCCCAAAGTTGATTTTGGTTCGATAACCAAAAGTGTTTCGTTACATATGAAATCCAGGGCTAGGAAAATTTTCCAAGAAGATTCACATATAAGACACGGCCTTGAAGTACCCCAGGAATTTTCTGCGCCATCGGAATCTGAGTTGCTGGGTCTTATCACCAAGCAAATATCTGCTCCAGAGCCGCAAATTCGCCGCATTGATTTCAGTCTGGCTTTTGATCCCATCTCGGAACCAGAAAAGGCCTACGTATGGTCCTCAAATAGCCTCGAAGCTTCTTCGTTCGACCGTACCATTACCATGATAGCACTGGATCTAGCCCCGTATGTCAGATCTATTGTCGCCTGCGATGCACGCCTACAACAAGATCGTGCTCGCTTGAGCAACTTGTTGAGTGAAGGAGGCAGGCAAGGGAAGCGGATGCGGACAACTAGAGCAGCCATGTCAGCATTGGAAGGGAGTACGAGAAGGACGATTCGGAAGGAAAGGTACTTTGGAGACAAGCTGAACAAAAATTTCGTTCTCTACACAGGGATGGAAAGTTGGCTTGAAGCAGCTTTCCTAGAGGAGCAGGCGTCTCGGGAGACACTTGCGCCTGATGATGTAAGCGGTACTGGCGGAGAGGGAAGTGAGGATGGAACGGTAGTGGAAAATGGCCCACAGCTTGTCAAGAAAGTGAGAGGAAGTGGGGCGCGGGTGCAGTCTTCGTCTGGCAGCGATAGAGATGAGCTGGGCGAAAGTGTTTCGTGATTTGCATCAAGCAGAACTCGTGATTTTGCTGGCTGCTTATGCTGGATTACAGTTGAGAAGTATATAGGAGTCATTGGGCTACTTTGAGCATCTCATGTTGCATACGTTTTGCATGGTGCATTGGGGCAGGGCGTTGAAACGATTGCATTGCATTTACACTCTTTGCTAGAGCACGCACCTAGATAGGTCATGGCAGAAAACCTTGCCTTAAGTGATGGATAGAAAAATATAAATCAAATGAGCTCTTTACAGCCTTTGCTTATTGCTTTTCTTGTGGGACTGTATAGATAAGTATTTACTCTATCTAGGCTTATAATAAGAAGTGTCTCCATTCCGCCTCCAGCTTTAAGTATAAACAAACGTCTCTGTAATAACTCTAATACTTAGATTAACTGCACGGTTTAGTGCTGGTTAATAGCAATCCTGTAAACAAAATGTGGTCATTATTACACCTGTTCAAGATAATATTCTAGTAATAAGTACATTATCTTTGTATTAAAGTATGGCGTGGATAGGCGAGCAAATGTCTTACCTTATACTCATTCATTATATCATATTTTTTAAGCAATTTAGATGATTCAATCTAGTAGACTAGTATGTATATTTACGATTTTTATCATCCTAAGTAGTGATTAGACTACACTAATCCAACTAGTTCACACAATTTCACCTGTGTAATCTTACTTCCGCATGGGCAAAATGTTGGCGAGAAGTTTTATTCTAAGAGTGCTTAGGGAAATGGAGTAGAAGAAAAGAACCATTTTTAGGTTTTACGTTGTTCTAAGGAGAGCAGTGGAAGTGTACTCAGGCTTTTGGTGACCATTGCCGTTCCTCTTCTATTAGGAATAGGTATTCAAATTCAGAAGGCTTGCTAGAGAGGAATCTTTTAGCTGGGTTTACCAGGTTATTTTCTTGTTTTTGCTCTTTTTCTTCGCAGAAAGGACGCAAGATAGTGGTACGTCTGATCCTTCTTTGTCTGTCGAGCTTTTTGGGAAAAGGAGAGTGAATAGTTGGCTCCCTCTCTGCTGAGAAAGAAATTGTTAGAATTTTACTACGAAGAACCTCGTTTCTAGCATCTAGAGTTTCGATTTTTTATTGGCGTAGATTTGTGGTTTGCCATGGCTGGAAAAATGGGTATCAATTGAAATAGGAGTATCATCCATTGAGTATACTACTGAGTTCCGTCGACCGCTGTTCAGCCAACTTTACAATATCCTTCATCTCTTCCCTTCCTACAATGGTTCCCCCAGATTTGGTTATACTTAGGATCCTGGTCTTCTTTTCCGAACAATCCACCACCACAGTAACACTTTCATCGCACAGAGACTCCTCAAATGTATCGGGGTCGACCAAAATCCAATATTTCTTGTCTTTTGACTGCGCTTGCTCCTTTGCTTTGAACACCAATGCTGTGATTGCAACAGGCAGCCCATTCAACGACAATTTCTTCGACTTGTCGACCGAATCATCGCACAATATCATCTCTCGATCCGGATCCCAATACGCCTTTGGTAACCGCACATTCTTTAACGCCGACATGACCGCCGCCCACGCAGCATCGAAAGGATTGCCGTCCAGAGAAATGAATAAAATGTCGATATATAGCGCCCAGAAAGCCTTTATTTCCGAAGCCGAGGTTTCCTCATCATCCTCGGAATCGTCGTCCATTCTATCGGGGTCGCTCAGGTCGGGTGGTTGATACCAAATCCTCAGATCCTCTCTGTCTAACAGATTGGTTGAATGTAACAACGAGTAGATCTTAGTGCTCAAGTCCTGGGCCAATGTACTAGGTGGTATAACAGGCATGAAGGCAGGCGAACATCCCGTCGCCAGCTCGATATTCGGGACGAGTAGATCCAACTCTTTTATCTCATTGTACCCCGCGCCTGACGATGGTTCTGCGGCTGCCTTGTCCGCGCGCCAGCCAGGTACCTTGCTTGTGAGCAGTATCTCGCCTCGGATACCGCAGACTACTGTCGTGTCGCCTATTCGTACTACCGCACTGCCATCGGCGTGTGTGAGAGAGCCATTGTTGATGTGGGGGGTTCGGAATTGGGACGGGGATCTGCCGTTTGCGCGTGTGGGTGTTGCGGTCGCGGAAGTTGGTTGGAGATGTGCGCGGAGGTAGGGATGAGGAGAGAGTTTTGCAAAGGTTTCGCGCGGGAAGGAGAGTGCTGATTGAGGCGTAGTGGAGGCCATTGGCGATGGCGATTGCGATTTGATGCCGTGATGTGATGTGATGTGAAGTGTGAAGTTAAGAGCTCTCGTTGAGGATGATGCTGTTGCTGCAACTGAAGCTTTCTGCTTTTTAGTGGGACGCTGAAAGGGTGCAGGGCAGGTACCACCGGCTCGCACCAGCACCAGCTTCCTCGGCAGCCAATCGTCGCTTCCGTAAACGAGGCTTTGTTTTCTTTCTACCCATGCTGCCATGCCATGTTCTACCAAGTACCTAGTTACAAGGCTTCCTCTCCCAAAGACTATCTCGAGTACATTTAATTTTTTGGACATTAGTTAAAGGGGCTACTCCCAACACTTCCAGCCAGCCACAGGCTTCACCCTAATGACGCTCCGCTGGCTCTCCGAGGGCCACTGCCGTGGGGGCCGATTCGCTACGCTCCAACGAACGCTCTTTGCCAGCGCAGCGACACTAATAAGGAAAACTAATAAGAAAAAAACAAAAATACTCAATATAAACACAACGCTAAGTATGGGTTACTTGGTGTTTATACCGGAGTCTTCAATACCTATGCATCAGATGCGTACCGTACTGTTACACACACTATTATACGTTTTGTTCTTCTCTCCTCCCTCTAGCTTTCCTTGTCCCGAGCCAGCCGACCCCTCGCAACATCAAGCCACCTTATTCTTGCTTCATCCTTTCTCTGCACGCTCTTGTTGGCAACGATGGACCCCACGGAATCACGGCCTGTACGACGACAAGTGGCCTCGTACTGCCGCACGTCCAATCCCAGGAAATGCCAGCATGTGGCGAGGTTGTGACCAAAGATCCAGGAACTGTGGTCAATCGCGATGCTCTGGATGGTGTAGTCGTAAGCTTAAGCGACCTCCCCTCACTACCGGTGTTGAATTCTCCTCCCGCAGTGTACTGACTGTAGAGCTGACTGTGCTCAAATGTGGTCATAAGAGCCGTTGCAGAGCACAACCACCATCTTTACGGTATCCGCCCGTTTTCTCCGGTCGAGAGGCGTTTGCAAAGATTGTGAACTGAACAAAGTATGGTCACAGGCGGTAAACTCAGCGTTTCGAATCTCAACAACAACAACGCATGCCCCGTAATTCGTTCATTGCTTTGATGTGGCTCTGTCCCAGCTTTTACTTTGGAGAGAGTTTACAACATGTTCATATATCTGCCAAGCACACACCTCCTCCTTCGGGAACCCGGGCGTTTCGGTCCGCAAAAAAGCTGCAAGGGCTTCGACCGGGGAGCTGTGAATGGAGCGAACAGATCCAATCATCATCAATGTGTTGCCGCCGAACACTCTATTGGAGATCCTTGGAGATCCCTTCCCAGCCTCCGCATTGGCTCAATATCTGCTGCCTTCATCACAATTTTTTACTTGCGCAGACGTTGTGATTCGCCAATATGGATTGCTGCAGCTTCTCTTAACATGGAGCCCAGGGCGAAAGGCGAAGGGGGATGATTGAAAAATCCTGACGAAGCATAGACGAACATGGCCAAGAGTTGCTGTCAGCTCGCTCCAAACTTGAAATCTTGTAGTCGAGAAGCACGCTGACCGTTTCTAAGCAGGTCATATTGGAGAACAAGCGAGCAACGGGACCGCATCTGACAGCACGCGAGTAGAGAGAAAGTCACGGCTTGTATATAAGAGGTGCAAGCCCCGTGCAAAGTACTCGTCTCGCGCAGTAGAGTACATAGATACATCCTTTGACCTGCAGTCGGGTTGTGATAGCTGCAAAGCGAGGACTAGCGCAATCTATAAGACAGGCATTAATTCCGGCTGTTGACGTGGGGTTCAGGGCTAACGCCAGATCACGATCAACCGCCGAACCTTTTCCAATCCCATGAAAAGGACCTGCATGATTTAACTGGTTGTCTTCTACCCCCTCTACCCCCTCTGCCCCTGTTTGGCTTGTGTTATGCCGAAGGCATGTCTACCTCGATTGCAACTTAAAAAGAGTCGGCGGTTGACGTGATGGAGGGGCACTTCTTGCATCTCTTGAGTCCGTCTGCAAGGTCGCACAGCACGAACGGCTGATAGAGACCCTTCCCCACACCGCACTCGAGTTCATATACATAGGCCGATTGGCAGTCTGACGCTGACCACCGCACACTTTATCCGTTGTGCAACCCATTGCTCCATATTTTTTGTCGTCCGCCTTCCCAGCCCTCACATCACTCACTCTCTATCATTCAATGACTGAAGAAGGATTTCGAATTATTCCCGATACCGCTTCTGAAGCTGTCGGTGTCCATCTTCAACTGCTACGCCATACAACTCAAGCGCAGAACGATAGACTGCAGATGGACAAGCACTTTTAATTATTGTTTTCTTTCAAGTCCAACCGTTACACAGGAAAGATTTGCCTAGTCTGTAGCCAGTATCGCCAAACTCATGTTCCCTGTCAAGAAAGTCGATATCTAGATCTGGGAGTACAAGTCGTTGCGGCCCCCAAACCCATAGCACGAGTAGACTTCATCTCGGAAGTCAAACAACAATGTCTACCCCCGAGACAACCAAATGGGTAGAATCCCAGACGCTAACAAATCTTGCCAAACGAATACACATTCCTCTCACGCCTACAAGTCCTCCAGGCCTAATTGAAGCAAATACAGTGGATCCTTGGGACAAGGCTGGTAAATATGCTTTGGGATGGACCTACCTTTGTCTTGTTTTGGTGGTTTTAGTAGCTGTGACGAGGGTGTATCACTTATGGACCGACAAGATAAGGCAAGCAATGCACAAACACGAGTTTGAACAGTACTACGGGAACTATTCCCCTGATGACGATTATGCGATGGAAAACATGCACACGGGTCAGATGGGACACACCAGAGAACACACCGGGGAACAACTTTTCCCCCGGGCAGGAGAGAAGGGAATGACCCTCACGAGAGGACAATCAGAATGGTCTTCATTCCGAGCCGTCAACGACACACTAGCATTATTCAGGTGGATATTTTATCGACCTGTACCAGAGATAAAATGGAGAAAGAAGGTGTTACTCGGATTCCCGTCACTTGCCGTTATTGCAATCCTCATCATTGCTTTGGCTTTTGTGACACTCTACTGTTTTTTGCCACAGCCCCTTTTTTGGCAGAGCATTCGATTTGGATCGCCGCCTCTCGCCATCAGAGCTGGAATGCTTGCGGTTGCCATGACCCCATGGATTGTCGCTACAAGTATGAAGGGAAATCTTATTGCGGCTATTACAGGAATTGGACATGAGCGACTGGGGGTATTTCACAGGTGGGGCGGATACCTCTGCCTATTTTTGGCCATCGTTCATACCGTTCCCTTTTATATCACACCAGTTTACGAAGACGGGGGTATGGCTGTGTTTGAGAGACTCTTTCCTCAAGGTAGCGGGGTTGTATATGGCACTGGAATTGCTTGTCTTGTGCCTCTCGGTTGGCTCTGCGTTGCGTCTTTGCCATTCTTGAGAACCCTGGCATACGAACTGTTCCTACTATTCCATATTCCTGTGTCCATTGCCTATGTTGGGCTTCTCTTCTGGCATTGCCACAACTACCTGACTTCTTGGAGTTATCTTTGGGCTACGGTTGCCATCTGGTGTTTTTCATATTTCTTGAGAATATTCAATGTGAATTGGGCTAAACCGTGGAGAAACTCTTGGTTGATTGGAGACGAAGCAGCAGTGACTTTGATGGCCGAGAATGCGATCAAAGTCACAATTCCAACGCAGATGACCTGGAGACCCGGTCAATATGTCTACCTGAGAATGCCCGCCATTTCAATATTCGAGAGCCACCCTTTTACCATTTCCTCGCTCTGCAGCGAAGATTTCCCTTCTGAATACGGCGACCTTTACAGAGATTGCACTTTGGTCTTCCGTCCATTCGGAGGCTTCACTCGCAAGGTTCTTGAGACTGCGATTGTCAAAGGTCCATTTCAAACCTACAGGGCATATCTCGAGGGACCATACGGTGGTATGCAAAGGGAACTGGCATCTTTCGATACTGTCATTTTGTTTGCAGGTGGAAGCGGTATCACGGCAATCGTCTCGCAACTTCTGAATTTAATCAAGAGAATGAGAGACGGAAAGGCAGTGACACAAAAGATCGAAGTTGTATGGGCTCTGAAAAGACTGGAGGCAATGGATTGGTTCAGAGAAGAACTTCGAATTTGCAGAGAGTATGCACCCCCAGACTCAGTCGCCTGTCAATTCTATGTCACCGCGGCGAAGCGACAGACACACCAGGGAACTGGGATAGGCAGGGCACCTCGACCAATCAGCAATATGCTTCACGATAAACTCGATGGATTTGTTTCTGACATTGCTTCGAAACGAAACTCCCAATACATTCGAGACGAAGCCGGGGGTAATGTTGAACGTGAGGAAGAGCTACGAGCCGAAAACGAAGATGCCATAACATCACTACCAAGAGCAAACCACCTGCAACCAAAGGTGCTCCCTCCCACGCCTCAGACGTCTTTTCCACCACCACCAAAGAAGGTGATGAGAGAGAATTCATTAAAGAAGTTAGAAGGACGAGCTACCTCATCACCCCTTCCCCCCGCGGAAGGGCACGAAGCTACTCGTAAGTTCTTGTCTCCAACGTCAGGAGGCCAATCGAAAAATCAGGAGTTCCATTTCCCGCCGCCTCCTCCACGGGCAGATGCACCACATTTCAAGTTCGCACCACCCTCTCCCAAAACTTCTAATAACCCATGGGGTGCGCATATGGACTCTGCAAGAAATTCAGCAATGTCTTATGACCCAGACAACCTACCTGGACCTCCCCCAGGACCACCACCACCGGATGGTTACAGACCATCAAGTTTCGTCTCGCGTAATTCTAAATCCGAATACCGCCCTACAAGCTACCTACCAGACTCAAAGTCTGCATCACAAGAGATGGATCGTGACCAAGGACTCAAGCCACCTAGCTTTGAAGATTCTATCCGAGCATCTCAAGACTCCAAGGAGTCTGATCACTTTCCTCCTCCGCCTCCATTGCCAGCGCCATCGGAGGCACCTGTATCAAACCCATCTCCAACTCCAGTCTCAGCTCCTCAGGCTTCTTCTTCCCTCTCCCCATACCCTGCCGCCCCTGAGCAAGCACATATCCGGCAAAAGTCAGGAGATCTTCATATTGACATCCCATCTTCATCTGGTATCGCACCAGCACCAGCTGCTTCCAGCTTTGACTTCGGATTCCCATCCACGCCAACAGAATTCCAAAAGAATCTTATGCGATTCGCATTCGTTGGTACAAAAGTAAAAAAGGAAGGCTGGTCGACAGAATATGGACGTCCAGACTTGGGATATATGCTCAAGGAAATGGCGACGGGTGGTGCGGATGGGAAGGGGATTTTTGGTCGGAGAACATGTGTGTTTGTCTGTGGACCGCCGACGATGAGAGTTGATGTTGCCAATACGGTTGCCAGGTTGCAAGCGGATATTTGGGGTGATGATAGTAAGGATGAGATTTTCTTGCATACGGAGAATTATGCGATTTAATTGTTCTAATGAGATGGACGCATCCTTGGGTAGGATGGGCTAATGGCGTTTTGGGATATATATACCGATTTGATACCTATATGCAATACATACTGTAATTATATACATAGTACTACCGTAATCTTGAAGATTTTTGTTAACCGGGTTTTTTACAACCCATTCCCGGGTTCTTTTTTTCTTGGAAGATCTTGGACGAGATGGTTTGAAAATGTTGAAAATAGAAAGTTCATGTCTTGGACCTCTTTTCTATTAAACGCAGTTGAAAGTTTCGATTCCCCCAAAACGAATGATTCGCTAATCACAGTCAGTTCTGAGCCCCAGCGTATTCGGGATCCTCCCGATTTGACCTGAGCACCACTCTTCATTACGGAAAGCAATACTTCTATTTACTTCAAGCTCCGCGGAAATTCTCCGATTGATATCCACTGAATTGCCTAGCGTCAACGGAATTGTAAAACTTGGCATCTCGTTATGTACCTTTTCCTAGGGTTCTTTCTGAACCCGCAATTTTGCCTCCCATCAATGCTCTTATCCGTGTCTCCCAGAAGCAATCCATTGATGAATCCACCGCGTATTGCGGTACGGCTTCATGGGAAAACAACCCAGCTGAAAATGATAGGGCATGCCTATGGCCGATGATAGCCCAGCCGAGATTGAGAAGCTTTCGAGGGACCTTGGATCACGACCGGGACCCTGCCCGCCTCGTTCCTTTTGCGGGCGGTACGGTTACTGCGGTGTATCGTTCTGGAACCCTACCGTACCCACATATCTTTCACGTCTAATTGAGGTGGCTGTAGGCCGTTAGGCTTACTACATTGAGCGATGAGTGCCGGCGTACAAGTGCCGTTCTTGTGTGATCATCCTGATAATTGGAGAAAGCGGAATCTTCAAAATAATACGATGTATTCTGATAGGTTGCGGTGAGTGGATTGGGTTTCTGGGCAGTTTTTACCCCGCTGTGCTACCGTGAAATGGGGGAGCATTAATGAGGGTAATGGATTGGTTACATACATACGGACCTCGCTTCTTGCCTTCCTAGGTTAATCTGTTGGACATCGTCAATTTTGGTTGTTGGTTTTGGGTTTCGTTATCAAGGAAGACTACTTCCCAGCTTTTTTTTTCGGTGTTCTTCTTTCGGTACCAGAATGTTTAGAGTTGCATATATTTGATTCTCGTTGGTTGTACATAAACCGGATGCGACACTCAAATTGTTTACAACTTACAGGTGTGATCTTCTGAGAAGTGGAGATGGAGAAATCAACGGTATCGAATACGCCAGATAGTGATATTATTCCATCCGAAGACTTCGAACCCGGATTGGACTCAACCAGTAAATCGACCCTCAAGGATGACATGGAACTCCCAAAATGGCAATTGATGGCACTTAGCATCAGGTACGTACCTTATCTTCTTTAACTACAGTGTTTCTAGACCATAAACACTAACATAACAAAAGCATCTGCTGTGGACTCTTCCTCTCACTCCTCGATACTACAATAGTAGCCGCAGGCCTTTTCACGATCGGACAAGACTTTGGAGATCTCGAATCTCTCAATTAGGTGGCATTAGCTTATACCCTTAGTTATCTGGGTTGCGCGGTCATTTTCGCGCGTGTTGCTGATATTGTTGGGCGAAGAAATGCATATATTGCTGCGCTGGTGATTTTCATCGCTTTCTCGCTAGGCTGCGGGTTTGCGAAAACGTTGGAACAACTCATTGCTTTGAAGATAATGCAAGGTATTGGGGGTAGTGGACTGTACTCACTTACTTTTATCATTTTTCCTGAGATTAGTACGCCAGAGATGAGTCAGGTTATTGGCGCTGCTGCGGGTGCTGTTGCGAGTAAGTATTTCCATGTCGCCTGGATATTGGAGTTTGCTTTTCCTCCTTCAAGATTTGGAAGCTTATTAACTCGTGTATTCAGTGGCTGGCATTCTTGGACCGGTACTTGGTGGTGTCATTACACATTACACTACATGGCGATGGATATTCTGGATTAAGTAAGTCTAAAGTCAAGCTCAACCTTTTCTGATAGAGTACTAAACAAGACCCAGTGGTCCAATTGGGATCATCCCGCTAATAGTATTCATAATCGCCTGGCCAAAACCTCACCAAATAATACATGCCCCACGACGATCATGGAAACAACTCGACCTAATTGGCGCCGTCCTCGTAATCGCAGCCTCCGTATGTGTGGTATTCGCCTTCCAACAAGGCGGTATCATGCCTGACTCTTGGAACAAACCAATTTTCATCGTTCCTTTAGTAATTGGCTGTCTATGTTATGTCCTTCTCTTCTGCTGGGAAGTGGCTGTTGCAAAGTACTGGGCAGGATCATTCGCCACGATGTTTCCACTTCACTTAATCAAACATCGTGTATATATGGGCTATGTCCTTGTGACGCTCATCGGAGGATTTCCATACTTCATGTTCATTTACACACTACCTCTGCGCTTACAGGTCGTCAATGAAAATAGCCAACTAGTCGCAGGATTGGCGCTGTTACCAATGGTGGGAGCCGTAGCAGTGTTCAGTTCAGCAGCAGCAATCATCAATACGAAGAAGAATCTGATTTTCGAGACTCTTCTCACGGGTGCTCTCTTTTCAGTTCTGTGGACTGCGTTACTTTCGACTTTGAAGAACGTTCCGTGGATTGAGGGAAAGATGTATGGATTTCAGGTCTTCATCGGGATTGGGTTCGGATTGATGGTTTCTACTACTTCTCTAGGTGGTGGCTTGGAGCGTGAACTCAAAGATACCAGTAAGCTCTCCCTCCTTTGCTTTCCCATCCCATCATAAGCATAGCAAGAGAAATTAACAAGCATATAGCCGTCGCACAAGGAATCATAGCCCAGGTCCGTGTCCTAGGAGGTTCCATTGGAATCGCGGCCACAACAGCAATCATGGGCACAACACTTCGCCGAGATCTCGCAAAGTATCCGCATCTCGCTGGCACGGAGGGTCAAGCAGAGAGAGTTGAGGTGGTCAACGCTGATGCCTTCAGACAGAGTATGCAAGTCTGTGCAGCGATTACAGGGGTGGGTGTTTTGGCTACGTTTTTGGTTTGGAGGAAGGAGAGGATTGGGTATACGGAGAGGAGAAGGCAGCAGATGGAAAATGCTCAGAAGTTGAGGAGGCAGGAGGGAGAAGTGGAAAAGGTTGGGAAGGTGTAGAAGTTAGGATTCGTTACTTAGATAATGTTAATAGTTGATACCCATCTTGATCAAAAACAAGAAAGGTGGAACATCCTGTCTGTGGGTCCTCTTGAGACGTTCTATATCGATTGCTTTGTCCAAGCTATGATGGAAATGTATACAGTAACCTAGAAAGGCGCACGAGTATGATGGACCAATAATGGACTTGGTCGATTTGTTACAAAACTATACTGTGTTTACCAAGCATTTTGGTTTAGTTGCATTAAATTGATGTTGTGTATTTATGCATTCATTGGTAAAATGCTACACATATATATACACAGGTTCACCTAGATAGTATTCGCGCAAATAGGTTCTTTTGTTGCTCCCTCAAAAACACGTATTAGAGAATATAAAGATAAAGGCAAACAAATGATCGAATTTGGAGAGAATTTGGGATATCTCTTTTACCTTGATTATGGTTTGGAGACACTAGACTTAGGGGTCTAGGAAGGAGTGAGCTCTCGGATGCTGAAGAATCAACCTGTCCCCAGTAACAACCCCTCAAATCCCCTTTACATCTGAGTAAATCTTGTATGTGAGAGCTTGCACTTCAAAAGTGTAGTGTTGTGTCAAAGCCCATGCACAGTTGAAGCAATTGTGCGAGTCAACCAAATTTGTATCATGTACCTAACCTTCCTAGATACACATAAGACAATAATTTAATCATTGATTTATATTATTGCAGAATAAAGGCAATATCACCTACAGAATCCTTTTTGAGTCAATAACTGACACAAGCAGTGGTCTCCTTGGTTCAGGAGCATAGCCAGTAATCTTCTCAACCTTTGGAAATTATCCTGTGCCGTTCTTCTTCTAAAGCCTAAGGTTAATACCAGATTAGAATTATTAACAACCTCAGCTCAAATTTCCAGGCATAGAAGCCCTACCTCTAGTGTAATGAGTCCTCTGCTGCTGGAAGAGCCTTAGAAGCAACCCTTGTTGGAATCTTCCGGTGACTAGATGAATACTCAAACAAAACACAAGAACTAGATAGTAATGCATTCATACAAATTCAATCCTGAAAAGCACAGTTCATAGGTGGTCCGCACCTCTCATTATCCTACATTTGTGACAATGCTGCTTGCACCATGCCCTAAGAAATGCATCAGTAATAGGTAGCTGCCCACAAAACGTAATAAGGAAGTGAATGATATCCAATATCGATCACTTCCCTCCCTCTAACGACCGTCAGCCAAAAGAAAATGTAAGATGCAACAATAGACGTATTCCTGTTGAAATAAGCAAACAGAACTGGAGGTTCAATCTTTCCTATTTTGTGAGCGAACGCACTCTGAACATCAGCGGCCACTTGTGGTGTCACTATGATGGGAGAGAAAATGAGGAATTTTGGTCATAACTTTTGGTTGTTGATCAACGCCTACAGTAAGAGTTCAACGTGCGTACACTAAAGAGATGAAAAGTGTATCGTAAAAACCAAGATGCTTTTGAAGGTCACATTAAAAATTTCTACTGTATCTCTCCCTCCTTCACACTTGTGCGAAGTGATATGTGATCAGAGCAGTTTGAGAAGCTCAGACCCAGGAGAGCGCCGGTAATGTTCGATTGATTGCGTCCCTTTGAAGGCTGATGATGCTATTGTAAGATCTGGTAGATCCTACATGTTATTCACACAACTATAATTACGAATTCACGAAGCTCCTATTCTAATCGCTATATGAACAACATTTCTTGAGAAACAATGCTTGATTATATAATTATATGACATCTAGCAAACATTGTTTCATGAGAAAATGGAAGAGATTGAAATTAATCTAAGCAAATAAGCATCATTCTCGGAACATTAGTACAGTACTTGAAACAAAAGAAGCAACAGCCGGCTTGGACAGAATTCAATTATAAATTATACGAGATAACAGATCCGAGTACATTCAGAGGCAGAGGGGATTTAGGCGCCACTATAACAGCCCTTTTCCTCTCCCTCTCCCATTTGAATGGTTTCCGATTGTGTTCAACTACGCTATCCCCTCTGGCGAGGAGAATCCGTCAACTAGCAATATCAGATAATAACCTAAACTGACATTGAATACCGTAGAAAGTCTCAAGACTAGAATATTGCTCGTCAGCTTATGGAAACTCCATGAGACTCTGATCACTCCCAAGTGTTCGACCTTTCACACATGCTCTGCAAATATAAACCTCGGAGGCAGGTTGGAATACGCTGAACGTGTTTTCAGCAGTGCTGGTACCAACTTGTATTGATTCTTTGAGCAGGCTGTAGGGAGCCATTATTGTTCTGGCTGTGGGCTTATTCAATTATTTTCGTTAGAACAAGACCTGTAAAAAGCCCTGGTCTAGTAACTCTAGGCAATTACTAGAGTTCGGCATACTAGAGTTCTATTGGCCAATGCAGAGATCTGACTTGAAAGAAGAGCAGATTTGGTCACATAATCTATGACACGCGAGTGCCTGATATGTAACGTCATATCCATCCTCATGTAGTGTTTTCGAGTTTTTCAACTTGATTTACTAGGTAGCAGCTACCTTCATCATTCTCGTAGTGATATTTAAAGCTTCGAGGTACTATCATTTAATTAACATATGGACCCCTTTCTGTAGGTTCGCTTGAATGATTCCGGGAATGAGCATGAGATCCAGCAATTCATTGGAATATAGATATGCAGGAACAACGCGCGGCTGTTGATCTCACATCATCAATTTCTCATAAAGCAGCCGCCCTTTGGAGCTCAGCATGCAGACAGGGTAGGATGATTTGATATACTGAGGATTATATCGAGACAGAGCCAGAGTGAAGGTTCCAGAACTCCGAGACAATGAAGGAAGACTTCTCCCATGGCCGTGATTTGATCACTATCTCTAAGATTGGAAAGTTTATTATCGGTAAATCCAGTGCACACAGAGAGACACGGGCACAGCATCTGTGGGCTAGTCAGGATGAAATGCAGGGTAGCCTCGAGTAAGTAAGCTAGTGGTCAATCTTGAGTGAAAAATCTACATGCGGTACTCCTTGGTGTATAGAGCTTGTTGAGATAATGTCGATATCTGTAATCATGTGGCGTCAATACAACGAACAAGCTTTCGCCTGGAAAAAACTCAGGACTACTTACCATTATTGATGTAGGTCTCCACGTTCTCAGATGTCAATCCGCCACTACACTCCAGGAGAAAAGCCCGCTTACCCGCCCATCTCTGTTTGATACTTTGAGCCGCCACTTTCAGCCCATCGCCATCAAAATTGTCAAGCATGACAACATCGGCACCGGCAGCGATGGCTTCATCAGCCGCATCCTCGTTGTCAACCTCAACTTCGACTTTCAATGCAAACCCACCGGCGGACCTGGCAGCTTTGACGGCTTCGGTTATACTACCTCTAGCCCAGATATGATTGTCCTTCAGCATAATCATACTTGAGAGGTCGTGTCGGTGCCCATCGACGCCTCCAACAATCATACCGTACTTTTCAACCAATCTAAATCCGGGTGTCGTCTTTCTTGTGCCAGCCAGTATGCCCTTGTACCCCGCCTTCCTCACAAGTTCCTCCATTGTCCTTGATTTGGTGGCAACGCCAGAGCATCTGCTCAGTGTGTTTAATGCAACTCGTTCACCTAGTAGCAGCTTTCGTACGGGTCCTGTAACTGTGGCGACTGCAATCTTGCCCTCTCTGCCTGGATCTACCTCTGACCCCTCCTTGAGATGCCACTTGACCGTGCAGCCAGCTTGGGCGAAGACCTCGTCAAAGAATGGCACACCGGCCAGAATTCCTCTTGATTTGCCAAACAAGGTAGCAGTTCGCTCGCTGTCGCCAACCACGAATCCTCCATAGTCAAAGGAAGGCGTGTCTTCGGCAAACCATGCTGTTATTTGAGATTTCCAGTGAACGGGTAGGAGGTCCGCAGGGTTTCCGTGTTGCAGAGCCATTGGATGATTTGAGTTGTCGACCGAGATTTGCTATTATCTCACTCAGACGAGTATAAATGGTGATTGGCAGACTTGGGAGTCTTAGGGTCTGGAGTTGGTGTTGGAAATCAAGTCCTGACTGTACTTGTACGATACAAACGGTAACCTGGAAGTCGCGGGGTCTCTTTACGCCTGGGCCTCGGACGCACGGAGCACCCACACACACGTGACTTTCCTCGACTGGTGCGAAGGGGGTCGGCCGAACTCTGCTTGAGGCTATGCGACTGCAGGTGCCTCTAAAAATACACGATCCTCTTTTCAACCGCATCCGGGTCCACGGGCCCGTGGACTTCAGCGTACACCATCTCAAGCCACATATCATGAGCCCCCACAAGCAAGTGCTCCATTTGCACCTTCCAGTTGTTTATTTTGATGCGATTACTCTGTCATTTCTATAGTTAAACCAGCAAGAGGTAGCTCGCTTATTGTTATCTGGAGAAGGATGTTATCATCCTTTCATCCACGAGCATCTCTGTAGCTTATTGGGATGAACTTCCATCATTGTCATTTTCGCTCTCAGAATTCAATCTTTAAATTTATATTTTGCCCATTCATATATATCAAAATCACTTCTCTTTACATTTCCAAGCGCCTCAGATATTGAAGTCAACAGAACCAAAAATTTCTGAAAGCTCTAGAACAATAATAGTCCTCTTTTCTCCTAAAGAGCTTGATTTAAGGTTTTGCGTTAATTCCAAGTTGCATAATCTTCAGTTCATAAGGCGCGTAGTATATGTGCGCCACGAACGCCATTTTCTCAGGGGTTGGTGTTTTTGTGATGCCGTATTTCATCCAGTTAATGTTTACAACTGGTGAATTTGCGTCTTGCTGACCGCTGCATACCCGGCCGCCATGGGACATAGGTCTCCTGCATGATTCCTTCCACGTTTCTAACAGGATGCTTTCGCAAGATAAACCAGCGTAAGCCTTTCTCAGCAGAAAACTGCTGACATTCTCAGCCCTATGGTCTTACGAGTTGGGCTCAGCGTGTGTTCAACAAGCCTACCCTCTTGAGGAAAGAAAAGCGGCAGTGGATATTCTATTTCGAGCTACTATTATCCGCAGGATGGAAAAGGATTGAGGGATCAACTGGTTCCATTCAATTTTAGAAAGCTGTCAATCATTTCCTAGAAGCTCCAAGTGATCAAAATCTTTAATTAAGGAAACAACGAGAACCGGATCTAGGGTCTCCATAATCATTCAATGCTGCTGTCATTGTCCATTTCTGCCCTCTGTGAGTAAATAAGCGATACAGTCATGGAACATAGCCACACCAAGTTTATCACGGGTTGAAGGACTCCCGAAAATCTATATAGCTCGGTATAGAAACTCAACCAATGGGTATCACCGCCAACAACGGAAACTCCTAGCCGTAGGCATGAACCTCTCAATATATAACTAGGTCCACTATGACCTCGAACCCTTTTCTCTCCATCTCCTTTCGTCTTCTTTCTTTCGCATCTCTTTTCTTTTCCTTGACACAATCGCTACATTTCTGCCTCTAGCAGTTCTTCTCTCATAGCAGTTCTCATTTTCTCAAATAATTTCCAGAACTTCGGTTTATTTTTCATCATGAAATTCTCCACCGTTTCTTCTCTCGGTAGTTTTCTAAGTGCTGCGTCTGCTGGTACTCACCTCGAACAACACGTTTGCACAGGCGCAGCTCCTTCTACTGTCTACCAGACAGTGACTGTTACTGCTGCACCAGGCGGAGGCTACTATCCAGGTGGAAACAACCAACCTGTCACAACCATCCCTCAACCTCCATATGTTACCACAGGTGGCAGCCAAGTAACTTCTGTTGATTATGATGGAACCAAATCAACGGTCTGGGTCTACCCTACTGGCAGCCCAGCCAGTAAGGATTGCACCGTAGCTATTTACGAAAATAACGTCATTATCAACGTGGTCGTCGTAAACATCGGAGTTACAATCATTAACGGCAGCCCGATTACTATTACCAAGACGCTCACTGAGAAGCCAACAGAGACACCAACTTCCCCACCAAATTTTCCACCAACTCTTCCACCAATTTTCCCACCAATTGGCGGGAAAGTGATCAACGTCGTCGTTGGAGCTGATGGACAGCTCAAATATAAGCAAGATCAAGTCAATGCTGACATCGGTGACATTATCCGGTAAGTTCCTCTCTACTCAATTTCCAAGCCCCATCAAAGTACTAAAGAGAATTCAGATTCGACTTCAACTCCACCAACCACACCGTCACCGAATCAACCTTCGACGCACCATGCACAGCAAAAGCTGGAGGCTTCAAATCCGGGTTCCAGTTCAACAACAAAAACCGCACTGATGTTCTTCCACCCGTGGATTTCGTGGTCGACCGAACCAGCCCGATCTGGTTTTACTGTGGACAAAGGAAGCCCGTCTCTCACTGTGGAAAGGGAATGGTCTTCGCCATCAACCCAGCCGGAAAATTCGACGAGTTCGTGGCCAAAGCAAAGGCTGCTGAGGGAGGAAACGGAACTGTCATCCCACCTACAACTATTAGCTCATTGCTACCACAGGGAACTGGAGTTCTCCCACCTACAATCACCCCAAGCGGAACTGGAGTCATCACAAACGTCAAGCCAACTCCTACCAAGGTGTACTACAGGCGTGCTGCTTTGAAAAAGCAGTCTTTCGAAGCGTAAATGAACTGAGCATTCTTGGGAGCCGGGAAACACAATTGGGGTTTATGACATGGTTACAATTAGACTTGTACTTTTTGGAGTTTTTTAATTTTGTTCTCTTTGAGCGCGGGAGGCGGGGGACTAGACACTTGCGGCAAAGCAAGCTACCATCATTTTGTGATAATTATTTAGTACTTGAATGAAATTTCATCTAAGTAATTTACCTGGGCAATCACACGAGCATAGAGAAATACTTTGCGATGGGTTTACAATGACCTTTGATTTGTGAGAGAGGGTCCCGAGTACCGCATTATTCTCTATGAAAAAGAAGAAGATAAACAAGAGTCATTCTCGCTAAATGCTTATCGGCATCAAATAAGTCGAGCAAGATTCCTAGTCTACTTACAGAGTATTAGCCCTGGATGAGTAGCTAGTGAAGAAGACCGGAGCCGGCATTTAATTAGCATTTTATTCCCGTTACCAAAATGTCAGCTGATTGCGTGTGCATGGTCAGTACATCTTCCAAGAATGGTATCAGATCAGCCTGACCTGAGGTGGAGTTAAATGCTTGCAAAATCATGTTACTCTACTCGGAACTATCATTCCTCGTGTAATACAGCCCCTCATCCCATAGCAGTTCCTAATGCTGTGAGAGAGGAAAATACGCATTAATCCGCTTCTTATATGACTTATAAATGATATATATACTCCTCAGGCAGTACTAATCATAGCATTGTCCTAATTTATACAGATCCCAAATTTTACAAGTGATTTGATGAACTGGTAGGTGAATTGGTAAGTTTGAAAGGCATTTGCTGGTTAATAACATTCTTGGAATTCCTGGTTAGATAGCGCAAGAAAGAAATTATCCAGAAGTAGATGGGGTTAAATTTTTTCAGAAAGTAACAATTCAATCTGGAAAGTGAAGATGGTGCCTTTAAATCCATAAACCCCATAACTACCTACCTAGGTAGTAAGTAACCCATGCCATTCTTCACCCTTCCAAAATCAAATCATAACCCCCTTACTCACAACACACGATACGCACTACCATAATTAGCTCAAGCCCAATCCAATAACCCTTCACAACTCACTCATAAATAACCTCCGTCCCCTTCCTCATCCCAGCACCCACCCACATCCCAGAATTAACCTTATCAGCATACCTCTCATCCCCCGTCTCCATATCCACATAAAGTCTAAACTTATAAGTACTAGGGTCTACAGAGTCCGCTCTCTTCGGATCCGCTAATGCCTCCAAAACTTCAGGCGAGCCTGTTCTCCAGCCTTGGGTTTTGATGGCTATGTATGCAGGTGGGTTGTCGTAGGTTTGTAGGAGGTAATTAGTGTCTAGACGGGCTGCGCCGGATGCGATTATAAGTTGAGAATCTTGTCCTCCAGGCTGGAAAAGTGTAAGTTCTTTTGCATGATGTGGGTAGTTGGGGCAACAACTCACCAACACGATACCTGAGCCCCATGATCCAGACCAAGAACCACCGGTGAAAGAGATCCCTAATTGTGTCAGAATGGTTTCTGACGAAAAACTTGAACTGGGCTAAATTGACGCATGTATGCTCTTCAATTGAAACAACCTAGGTTCCTGGGATCTCTTTATCCAGAAATTATTGAGACTCACAATTTCTCTGCCCAAAGGGCGTTGGACCAACTGCAATCTTCGGATTCAGCCCAACAGACATTCGAAAATCAAGCTCCAGACTCGGACGTGGCATAGTTAGATCTGGATTTGGATATGTCAACATGGCCGTTGCGTTCGGTTGGGAGGTACTGGGAATTCTCAGCGAATGAATAAGAAAACATACTCAAAATAGGAAGAACAGTATGAAGAACTGAATAAGTCATGATATCTCAGCCATTTCATCTATCATCTGCAGAAATCCAGCTTTTCACTCACGCATTTTGATTCTTTCCGACGTTTTCTCCACCCGATACCAGATTTTGTTCTTCAGTAGTCGGTTTTAGTTCTTTCGCTAGATGAATAGATCCGTTGTCTGAACCAAAGCTCATACTTTTGTTGCTCAAGGAACTGTAACTTCAGATCATCCAATCTCTGGGATTTCGTTCATTTCCAGTTATATCTTGTCGATTTGGTTATATATCGATTCGAAGTTGGGAGAGTGGGATTAGTTGCAGGTCGGGTGATCTATTACCCCTCAACCGGAAAAAGTTACCCATATCCTCCGCTTTGTTATAACCGCGCCTACAAGACTTTTTTAAGCTACTATATCGGTAAGGGGGATGGCATTCTTCACTGTACACGATATTTTGAGTTATTAATCAACTCTTACGTTAGTTTACCAAAGTGAAAACCTTAATGAAATCCCCGCCACCACCACCTTTTATTTTCTTCTCTTTCAAAGAGATACGATAATAAAGACACTTAATACAGTTATATTAGAACCAATGAAAACCTACCCTCTAAAAGCATCTCCCTCCACTTTCCTCCACTTCCCAACTTTCCCACCTCCACCACCCCATCATCATCCCATCCACCCCCCACCAAGTTCCACCTAACAAAAAAAGCACACCCGAATCTGGACCGACTCCGGCGCCATCCTCACCTCCCACCATGCCAAGACGCCGCATGATTTACACATTTTAAACATAAACTAGAATAACACGCCTGCCACACATCCAAAAAGGATACCCGGCCCGGGTGGCACAATTGGTTAGCGCGTGGGCCTTTTATTATAACTCCTTTCGAGAAGTGTATAAAAAAGCCCAAGGCTGAGAGTTCGAGCCTCTCCTCGGGCGTAAGCACCTTTTCATTTTGCCGTTTTCTTTCTAGGCGTATAGCTGATGATTTTTTTGCCGTTTTAGGAGGCGGGTTTTTCATGTACTTAGTATAGGTTCTTGTAAGCGAGGCTTATCGTTCGCGAGAAGAATGAAAATAACGACGGGAAGTAGTTCTCTAATTATAAGAAGGAAATTTTTAGATTACTCTTATACTTTTCTAGCTCTCCTAGATAACTTTACGAGAAAAGTCTACTTGCCCTCTATAATACCTAACCTCGAGTTAATATTTTTAGATAAAGCTCCTTCTAATACCCTTATTCCCTTCTATAGCCCCCCTTCTTCTTCCCTCTCCCTCTCCCCCTCCCCCTCCCTAACCTAAAAGAAATTCCTATCTCCGTCGAAGTATTCCTTAAAATCTTACATCTATCTATACTACCCCCCTTACCCTTCTCGCTCTATTTCTATACGTACTTATACCGTTTTTTAAAAGATTATAAAAAAAAGGAATTAAAATCCAGGAGCGTTATAGAGATACTCCGTTATTTTATATATTTTATATTCCTCGTTAAATAACATAATACTCATGTTTTTCATTCTAAAAGGAATTAATTCCATCTACGGTAGTAAATTCTATATAACTGTCCTATTAAATCTACATGCTTCATCTACTTCTATCTAACAAAACTAATACTACCCTACGTACTCGTAATCCAAAAGTAACATACGTACTATACCCTAACTAACATCTTACATCCAACATCCAACCTCACCGTACCTAGCAAGCATGCAAGTAAGCAAGTAAGCAGAAGTAATCACAAGCAGCCCTACAGCCCTACGTGAAACCGATCCCATCCATGCACCCTGAGGTCCTTCCCAGAGAATCCGTACAAACCACTCACTCACTCACCATATCACACACCACCCCATCACAACCCCCCAAACTCCATACAACAACAAGAGAAGAGAAATCCAAAGCCGCAACCACCCACCCCCCTCAATCCAATCGCAAATCCCTCACACACATCACCCATCACGCGAGCAACCCAAATTTCAGCCTCAGCCGCAGCCTCCTCGGCGGGGTTTTCACATGCGGTTCGTCAAAAACTCTGACTGTATATATGTAACGGGTTGGGTTGGTTGCTCACTGGGACGTACCTGGTAGGTCACACACACCGCTTGCTGGAGGCTGGGTGAGAGGAAGCGAATGAGTCGAGAAGATGAGAGGAAAGGGAGGGAAGGAAGAAAAAGGTTTGCACGGCTGCGTGACGTGAAGTGTAGGTGTAAGATCGAATTCTCCGGAGATTAGATAAAAAAGAAAAAGAAAGTGAAAAAGAGAGAAAAGTGAAAAGAGGGAAAAAAAGAGAAAAGCGAAGAAAATTAAAAAACCTTCAACGATCCACAAACCCAAATAACAAAATTCAAAATACCAGTCAAAGAAAACCCTCAAGGCCGAAAAGGAAAGAAAAAGAGAAAAGTTCGCGCAGACATGAAAAAATAGCACCATCCAGAAAAGAAAAACCCACTTGCACATGTACATATATATCCACAGTCAGTCCCACCAAACGGCACAGCAGAGCACCACATCGCAGCATATAGCGCGTAAAATAAAACCGCATCCCCAGTAAAAAAGAGAAAAGAATGCGACATATCAATACCCCATACCAAGGCAAGCAAGTGCAAATATCCAACCGTCCCAATTTTCCCGGAAAGTAGAGATGAAAGACAGGGATGCGTATGGTGGTAGTCGTACAGTAACTTTCCCTGCCCTCCCCTCTTCCCTTTTCTCGCGACCCCGCATCCATGTACATACCGATACCCCATATTCCAGTCTGTGAGAGTGAGTATTCGTGTCTGTAGGAAACAAAATGATGGTTGCAGTGCATCAAGACTCCAACAAAGTAATTGAGAAATAAATGATGGCAATAGCTTACGGTAGGGTAGGTTGATGAAAAGAAGAGGGGAGAACTGATACATCATATTCTGTTTCCCTTCCAACCCAGGTTCGAAGAGATGATGGAGATCTTCAGCCTGCAGATCTACGGAGAGAGTTGGAGAATGCTCATCGGAGACTTCCGATCTACTGTATCAAAAATCAGCAAAGAGCCTTCCTTTGTACATGTTCCCCCAAAACTGGAAGGAGGAAGAAAACGCAACGATGAGGCGTTCGCTCCCCCCGAGTCGGAACAGGCTGACGACAGATAAAGTGATATGAAAGGGAGGTGAACCATCATATGACCTTCCCAGATCCCAATCATGCGGTGTTGCATCTGCTATGGTATGCACACCCGATATACTTACGAGACCAGGGATATACAGTGTCAAGTATGTACGTCTCGCCGCATTCGAACATTATCCCAGTGCGGTTGCTTTGCTTGCGGGTTGAAATGATGTTGTTCTCTTTGGACTCGTTTATTTGAGCGCTGGATGCTTAGCGTTCCTGCAATACCACCTTGAGCGGCTGTGAATGAATTTCAGGTACCTCTCTGTACTCGAGTAGAAGTTGCTTGGATGTGGATCATCGAAGAGGAGAATTTGCGTAGGGCAATCCGAGTGAGTATACCGAGTACGAGACGTGGTCAGGTCGCTCCGTTCTTGCTTCTTGCTTCGAAGTAATTCTAGAGAAGGAACCACATTTACTAGAGTGGATAAGACGCACAAGTAGCAGCGACGATGTAACCAGAAGTCTTGTGTTCAGTAGTGGTTTGTCGGATATAATTCCCGACCCTGACTATCCAGATCCCATAAATGATCCCACAAATAAGGAGATCCATAGACCATGACGAGATCCGGATCCAGATGTTTTTCTTTGAAACAAGCTCACCAAGTAAACCTACTCCGGGCGCTGGCGCTTGTGTGTCTTGTACACTGTCACTCCAAATTTAGACTTCGGGTGGTCGCAAACCATTCATTCTACGCTTTTGGATAATTTCTGCGGGCCAACAGGAGGTGTGGTCCTCAGTGGAACAGTACAAATAACACCATGTTTCCACAATTAGCCTGTGATAACCACTTTATTCCTTTTAACGATGAGACAAACTAGACCCCGGCGGCCTGAATCACCAACGTATATGGCGGGGTGTGTAGCTTTTGTTACCCCACCTATTTGGATCGCCGATAAACGTTTGTCGTTTTCTGATCCTTCACGGATATATTGAGTTTTGTGTGTCAGCATGACGGTGCAGCTTTCAAATGCCCGATTTTCCCAAATCCTTCGCCCGGCACGGGGGCGAAATAAATTGTTGTTGCAACGACTATCTCACAAGTTATTGTCAACGGCAATAACAAGTAATCACCTCCACGTAGATTTTTTTCGTCGCCAGCGGTGAGGAAGGGCCATCGGAGGACTCCGTGCTTTTCGGAATTGCGGACGCCTTGATGCGGAGAAATCGTCTCACCGTCTGCTGGATACCGCATTGACGCGGATAGCGAAGGTGCAAGCCAGGGAATGAAGAGCAAAGGAGGGGCCAACACACGGTAACCAAGTGTGAGTGGGTGGAGGGTCAGCCTGTGATGTCTTCAACGTCAACCAATGACCCGAAATCAACATCTTGTAGAGCACCCTCAGTGCAGATTGGGTGAGGGCGGCATGGTGTGTGGCCTACTCCCTAATTAAGAATACTGCGTGTCACGTCGTATGGCCTTCAACCCCGAGCGAGTGACAGATCATGGCTGACGGCAGTATCGGTGGCACTTGACGACAAAGGTAGCACACATGAGCGGTCCGGTGCGATGCGCGTGCGATGCGCGAGCAATGAACGGTTGAACCGGCTGCTGTGTTGTAGGTTGCGTCCAAAGTTCAGCGTTTTAAGTGCAGTCCGTAAGAGGTGTGGTCATTTTTAGTCTGTACACACCTAGGTTAGAGCAAAATTATTCCAGAAGTCTCGTACAACTAAACTAGTTCTACGAGCGATTTGGGATAACTCAGATCAATGTATCTTCGTTAGCCTGAGTGATCTGGGACCATTAAGTTAATTGCTTTGGGGAATTTGGCATAATAGGTTCTTAGGGTGTGTACTAACCATGCATCTTCCCTTGACCACTGTATTTCATCTGTATCTTACTCGCATCAACCCTCCTCTTGCCTCCACTGGGTATCGTTGTCCATCCCTTTGCTCCTCATCACATAGTGGATCGCGGATTTTGAAAAACAATCACGCAGCCGAGCCTGAGGGAATGCCAGCCTCAAATTCCCATTTTGCTGCTCGGCCCGCTGCAGGACGTTTGCCGCTCCTGCATTATCCCAGAGATGCAACCTGGATCTACCCTGGTTGAGTAGAATACAGCTTCCATTGTCCAATCATACTGTCCAATCACGTATATTACCCCGTTGAGATTGGCCCAGAATGAGCGATATGCATGGCCACGGCGAGGACAGCCTTGTTACCATGGTCTTTTGATGTCCAAGAGAATGGACGGTGGGAAGCGCTAGAACCACGCTAGTCGGGGTGTGGCATTCTGATGGCTGCAAGGCGGACCGAGGGTCCAGAAGAAACATTCAAGCCCGAGCGTGCATGGAGTTGCATAAATCTCGCCGTCGTCCCGCGCCGCTCTTGCGGCAGTCTCCTTGCCACGGGAGGCCGCATGAGCAGAAGGTCAAGTGATCTCCAAATTGGGTTAATAGACCATCGCGGTGAGGTTGATAAGGTGCCAACTTAGCATCATATTCGGCCATTTCCCCATGGGACCGTAGCATCTGACACAATTCCGCGGAAGATGCAAGATGCGTTGTCCCTTTGAAAGAACACAATGAGTGGAATGTGATGAAATTGTTGGAAACGGACGCGTTGGGGTTCATTGTTCTAGTCGAGATTGAGCGAAGTGCCAAATGCTGCGAGAAGAGTACGTTACACCACTCATGTATGATGATATGGTTCATGTTGAGTGTTGCGTTCATTGGAGGAGCGTGAATTCCGGGAATATCTGGTGAAGGGACCAGACGAGAGTGACGAATGCTTCTGCGGATGTACTTCGACTATCTTCCTCAAAACACCCCCGGCGAAAGTGATAAAAGTTCGGCCCAGAATCAGCAGAACCGGAAGCCTTCGAGAACCGTTATGATGCTATCATCGGACCGAGTAGTAGGTATGGTGAGCTGTCACAACCGAGAGGTTTGCCGAGAGCTGGAATGCCAAAGAAACCCGTTCGAGAAATAAATGACGCCTGTCAAAAATAGGATTTCTCAACGGCTTTTGAAAAAATCGTCATCATCCAAACGAGGCAAATGCACTGCAGCCGAACACGAGCTTGACAGGGAAATGCTCTCGTTAACTAACGGTTATTTGTAACCTACGGAGTGCCTTGGTTCAAGTATGCCGTCTCTTCCGAAGCGTTACTCGAGCATTCTCCTCCCCATTCTGCAGGTCGTTGCAATTGTTCCTCTTTCTTACCCGCAGCATGGCTTTCTTGCAGATACAGACCGTATGGCGCCAGAGGAAGTCGAAAGATTTGACGGGCTGTTTTCTCGCGTGCCCCTGTAAGTCATTGGTAACCGCCTCCAAAAGGTGGGGATGCTTCCACGTCACGATTGCACAAAGCTTTTGTCCGAAACGCCACCTGCAGGTTGAGAACGACGGGAGCGCGCAATTTCCAAAGGACTGGCGGAAAATAAAATGATACGCTACTCCACGCTGCCCCAGGAATGGTTTCTTTTCTCGCTCGCCAAGTGCGGCTATTTTCTTGACGTTGTCGTATCACCATCAAATCCATCAACCAGGGTCTGGGTGATCATCTCGGGTCGTGCCTCGCCTTCCCGTGGTGGGCTTCCACGTTGGGAATTTAGCCAGCGAAACAAGAACATGCCTACGCTCATGGCATGCAGTTGAGGGAGTGCGACATTGCGTCGTCGTCTTCTGTCCGTCGATACGTCTTGTTTTCGGCCACCTGCTTTCTGGGCCCAACAACCCCAATCATGGTTGCTTTTCATACTGGCGTCATGCTTGGAGTGGCGTAGGACTACATCAGCAAGCCGTGTGTGTCCTTGGAGGCTTGAATTGGGCTCCGGGGCGTTCGAGAGCTGCGACAGCGGGAGGAACGGGAAGGCCGCTGCTGTGTGACTGGATTGGGGTGCCTTGGTGTGAGATGTGGGTGGTCGGAGGATGGTGCTTGAGAAGGAATGTGATGGCCGAGGAGCATTGGGAAAAGTGATAGGTCGTGAGATGTTGTGAGACGGCGTCAGCAGTAGTGCAGCAGTGTAGTGCAGCGCAGCGCAATGCAGCAACGCAACCACGAGCAAGGAGTGTACGGAGTAATGCAATAATGTAAGCCTTACATGAGAAATGTTGGCATGGTATGCCATTCCATTGCCATGAGCATCTATTCCGGACAGCAGAAAGCCTCTCCCTCCTGGTCCAGCGGAAATGGAGGCTGGATGCAGATAGTTAGATAACCTTACTGTAGCAAACGGTAACGTAAGTTTTACCGTAGCTGCAGCTGCGGGATACGAGAAGGTCGAAACGCAATCAATTTGAACAAGGTTCCATTGCGTTCGTCTCGACTGGTCACGTCTGGGCCAGACAAACAGGGCTGGAATTAGGGGTTTGGAGAAACGATGTTCCCAGAGCCCAAGCCCAGAGCCTAGAGGGGTTCATGTTCACCCACAGGCACTCTACTGGTAGGTACAGGCAACTGTCAGACTACCAGTTCGAAGTCATCGAGGGACGGGAAAGCACGCATGGCTGCTGAAACAGCTGCAGCTGCAGCGGGAAGTTGAAAGTTGATGACGGAGCCGCCGTCCGAGATTCATCAGAAAGTTAGAGCCCCATCCACCCCAGATCATCATCGGTATAGATTGTGTTTGAAACATCTGTAGACGGGTCACGACGAGGCCACAGGCGATCGATCCAGGCCCAGTGGTGATGGTGATTGGTTCCCCCTCGTGTCCGTGCTTCGGGATGTGACGTTTTCAAATAGCGGTGCCCTCCGTACTGTAGTTACTGTAGTTACTGTACAGTTAGTGTACAGCTACGGTACTCGAGTACAGCTACTGTATAGCAATAGCCCCAATTAATGTCACAAATCATGGGCGGGAGATGTGATCGGGAGATATGGTCGGCGAGTGACGAGGATGAGGGCTGCTGGGTAGTATCGTACGAAGGACGAGTATCTGGGCTCTGAGCACAGAGTTCGTGTTGGTGTTGGTGGAAGCAATCATGGATTCATGGCAGATGATATTCGCATGGCATGCCATGCCATGCATGCCTGTGGCTGCCGGACGAGAGAAATGTGGAGAGACGCTGGGCCTGTTACGCTGAGCGGCGCTTGGGATCCCATCCATGCAGCTCATTCTTGTACACCCCGTGGATCTTTTTTTTGGCCTGCCCGTCCTACGACCGGTGCCTGTGCCGGTAGACAACAGATGCACCTACTCGTACTTCTATACTTGCTTTCTGGCAAGTATTATCTAGCAAATATTATCTAGCAAGTATTATCTAGGCATTCTTGTCACTACATGCGTACACACAGCATGTGGTTGTTTTCTACGTAGGCGTATGCGTACGAAGCACTGCACACTTCAAGCCGATCAAGAAGGCGCCAGCCGTTGCTGCTGCTTTCGTCCCCTCCACAAAGCCCATCCCAACCGTCCGTCATTCCGGTCCGATGCTACTTCTACTACTGTACTCTACTACTGTACTCTACTACTGTACTCTACTACTGTACTCTACTACTGTACTCTACTACTGTACTCTACTACTGTACTCTACTACTGTACTCTACTACTGTACTCTACTACTGTACAGTACTCCAGAGGTTGTTGGTACCAGTACTGTAAATTACCCCGACATGTCTAACCTGGTTGTCGTTGCGGGCGAGATCTATCATCTAAAGCTAAAGCTGAAGCCGAGATGCCAAAGTCCAAGCCCAAGTCCAAGCCCAGGCCAAAGCCAATTCAAAGGGGCCGACGACGTGACGGTGACCCCATTTGCTAATAATCCCCTTCGGAATATTCCATGGATTCCACCCCTACCGACCTACCCTGCGGTCCCTACCAAACACCCTCCAGGGACCGTCTTCGTCGAGGCCAAGACCCCTTTGGTCCATCGTACAATAGAGGACAACACTACGCTCCGTACACTACCTAGGTACAGCATTACAACACCGTATATAGTGTTTGCTCAGGATCGGCTAGCAGAGGTTATAAGACGAGGATGGTCCCTCAAGGTCCACGAGCGCTTTCCCTTTCCCGTCTAAAAACAGCCCTGTCTGCCCCTCGAAGAATTTAATCTTTTTTGCCTTTTTTTTGGCCTTTGACGTGGCGACTCCGCCGTCAGAACAATCATCCCCAATCCCCAATCCCTATCCCAAGCCCCGGGCTGCTCTGCACTGCTCTCCTCACTAGAACCCGCCGGCCGCTGTGTCGCACTCGCACTAGCACTAGCACTAGCACATTCTCACTCACTCGCACGCCCACTGCTCCCACAGCTTCGGGCTGGCGGCTCGTCTCGTCCCTCGACCTGCCTGCTGACTCTGATCTCGCCCAGCATCGCCTGTCTGTCGCCGTCGGCTTCTTCCTTAGCTTCCATCTTCGTCCTCTCCAGCGGGGCCTCAGCAATTTCTCGTGGGCAGCGAAGCCTGTCTCTCTCCCTCTCTGTCAAAGAGTCTGTTCTCCCACACACACACACACACAGACAGACCCGCCCAGTCTTCACAGTGTTCGAATCGCACTTCCACGCCCACGCCCACGCCCACGCCCACGCCCACCACACCCATTTACTTTGCCCAAGCTAGGATCAGGCTCGCATCAGGCTTTCCGCAGCAGCGCGGCCTCGAAGCTGACAGCCTTGCCGACCGGTTCTGCTGGATCTCTTGGAGTCTTGGAGTCTTGGAGTCTTGGAGTCTTGGACTGGCCGTTTGTAGCGTGTTTTAGGGCGCGAACCTAGTTGTTAGCGGTCTTTGCTCTCCGGGCGCCATTGGTGGCCAGCCGCCTGTCATTCGTGCGTTGTTCCTTCTGGTCGTTGCGTCAGGGTGACTCCGGCCCCAGAAGGGATTGGTAGTGGTGTGGCCCAAGAAATCAAGCCCAAGGATCTCCCTCCAGCGGCTTCCGCTGATAGCTAGCCAGGGTCTTGCAGAGTGGTGAGCTGCGAGCACTTACGAGTGTGCGGTCAGTGCACCAAATGCAGGTGCAGGTGCAGTGAGCCAGCAAGCAAGCAGAAGAAACAGGATTCCGAGCCAGCACCACCAGAATCACGACGACTATACTACTACACGACTACACGACACTACTCGACTGACCGACTCACTGCACGAGTACCTTCTGGGTATAGAGAGACTCGGACCTCAATCTCAACCTCAACCTCTTACTGTACTGGCGCTGGCACTGGCAGGTGGTGCTCACGACCAACCAAAACGTCACTCGCGTCATTCATCACATTCTTTTCCATCTTGGTCCAGTCGGTCTCTCTCACTCACACGCACGGCGCGGCAAGTTGCGAGCCATCCCATCGTCTGAACTCAACTCGACGACCTGGACCATCCACCACTCATCACCCACCATCCAGAATTCCTGATCCGGCCTTTCTCACCCCTCCTACCCTCCTACCCTCCTCCCCTCCCATCCTCACCCCCTGGGATCCCTCTCCCTCTCCCCATCCCCATCCCCATCCTGCCATTGAACGGTCTGGCCTGGCTAGTCAACGTGGTTGTCTGGTCCACAGAAGCGTCCATTTGTGCCGGAGAGGCGGTTATTGGCCCTGAAGTCCTCAAATATCCGCGCACCACCACGACACTACCACCAACCCGCCCCTCTGCGAAGCTGCGCTGCCACGAACAATTGGTTGGCTACCATTTTTTCAACGCCTCTTAGCAGAAAACTTCCACAAGAGAACCATCTCCACCTCCTTCGTCGTGTGCCTCACCCGTCCTAGACCTTCTAGACGGTCATCGCGTCGCATCGCCTCAGCGACCCTCTTGGGCGTCATCACCATTCCTCGGTCGATCATTCTCACGACGGCGGTACGGTCAGAAGCACAGAATCACCAGACAAAGCCCTATCCAAGCGGGCCAGCAAAGCTTGCCCTCCCCTCCGCGTCAACACCACCACCTCCGTTTTCACCCGGCGGTTGGTGGCACGTCGAGGACGAGTATCCCCCAAATACGTTGCTGTCATCGATCATCGATCATCGAGACAGAGCCGAAGCACGGCACCCCCATCCTACCACTATCAATCCATATAGTGGCAGAGAAAAGAAGGAAGTGAGAGTGGCACCCAATTGACCTCGGTTGCCCAGAGACAACATCCGCAATCACGACCACGGCCCAAGAGAGCAAAAACCGAGCGCAAAGTCCAAGTCCAGCACAAGCAAGGCACCCGCTCCGCACCCGCTCCCATCTGCTCGCTCGCCTCTCTCTCCACACTGAGAACGGACCCCACCGGCACCCATCTCACTCCGTGGAACCCTCGCACCACCGAGGAAAATACCCCGGACCTGGTCCTTCACACCACCCAAAGAGCACCCCCCTGGACATCAGCCCCGATCCTAGCCTCAAATCATATCCCTGCTACCCGAATCGCGAACACAGCCAGCCCAGGCATCCTCACCCATCCACCACCACCATCATCCTGATCACTCTTCTCCCATCCACCACCGACACAGACCCTCCTCCGCTCCACCAGGTCCTGCCACTCATCCAACAAAACCAGGTCGTATCCCTTTCAATCCCTTCTTTTCCTCCCTCCTGTCTGTTCCACACCCAACCCACCACCTCACCCACACCTCCAGTCCTTCTCCCCGACTTGGAGTCGCTCAATGAAGGTGGTCGTCCCTCAGCCGCTCAGGAGAATAAGAACGCACTGCATCACACCCGCATCTCGCGAAGGGTGGGTCGCAGCAACAGAGGCCCAGAACAATCTAGTCTAACCCAATCGGTCATCAACAACAGCACTGTAACCACAACATCTTGCATCTATTGAGCAACAAGTTGAAAGTTGGTCTCTAGACACTAACGGCAACCTCACTAAAAGTCCAGGAAGTCAAGGACAGGAAAAGTGAAAACACCGTCAGGAAAGAATTGGAAGCTTGACCACGAACATTGGTCATTACAACAACTTGCGCTCATTCCGTGGAACGACAATCGAAAGGAAATCCGGCTGAATTCATTGGTCGCTGTTTATTGTCAACCCGACTTCAAACTTGACTCACAGGTTGAAGAGGAGGAAAGAAAGCTTGGTCGGAATTGAGAGGCGTGCTTAAATTCCTCTACAGGAGTGATCAGCAAAAGGTTACGAAACGGAGTTCTCGCTTTGACAGTAAAAATTGTTCATTGCATCATCTCCAAGCAAGAATAAATAGGTCTGGAAAGTTCGATTTCTTGTTACAAGGCATTGTCTTAAGCAAACGAAGGGGCAGGAAGCAGAAGCAAAGCGTGCATCTGGCTGCAGTCCAGGAGCGGGAAGGCACGAGTCGGTCCTCGGCCACAAGATTGACAGCAGGGCGTTTGACTTCACACCGCTACCACGAACCTTCTCTCTAAATAACGCACTGCTGAGCCAGCAACGTGGTCTGTGGGAGAAGGAGCCGTCGTGGTGCAAATTTAGCTTTAGAGCTAGAACACGCCGCCGGACCGTCCCCCGCTCTAGTGTCTTTATTTAGGTACGGGCCTTCTTTCTTGTGACTCTCATACATTGGTTTGCGACTGCACCATACTCGTTCTTTCCACGGCATCTCATTTATGCCAGAAGGCTCGGGGGGTCTGCGGCAATCCTTTTTCATACCTAATTCTGACACTGTATTTCAGATAGGCTTGCGGTATCGGGTCCAATTTCAAATCGTCTGATTTGCGTCGGCGCTTCCAGCCATTTTTGAAGCGTGTAATAACTGGATAATTCGTTCACTTCACGCCATTTCCACTTCTTTCTTCATCCATCTCCATGACGCTTGCGTGTGTCGCAATCAATATGGCTTACCCGGATCAGAATGGAGGTGCCTACCAGCCCTCTCGCGAGTCCGGATACTCACTTCGAGATCAGCGAGAACATCCTGACTCTCATTATCCTCCTCCATCTCGAGACCCGAGAGTATATCCCGAGTCTCAGTATCCGCCACCAACCCGAGAATCTGACCCATATCCCATTCGCGATCCAAGAGATCAACCTCAATCACAGTATCCACCTCCACCGGGGGAAGAAGATGACCGCGCGAGGGCATACCACCACCCTCATCACAGAGCTCCACCCAGCAGTAACGGCGTGACATTGCCACCATTGTCGCCCTATGAAACCCCATCACCATATGGAGCCCAGCAACCACCACCGCAACACGCCAATGGATATCCTCCGGTTCCACAGAGCTATCCGCAAGGCCCGCCAGGTCCATATAGTGCCCCACAGGCCGGGTATAGGAACGATAGACCATATCAGCAGCCCGCTCAAGACTATGGTCGTCCAGGCCAGCAACACATGGCATTCAGTCAATCGGCCCCTCGACAGAGGACTGCCATTGCCTGCAGATATTGTAGAAGACGAAAGGTAAGCTCACATAGTATTCCTCGCAGCCTTGAACATCATCGTTTTTCCATGGCGGGTTCATTTTCATAGCCCATCGTCCTAATTTACTGTTAGATTCGCTGTTCTGGATTTGATGCCAACCCCGAAGGTCGTTGCTCCAATTGCGTTCGTTTCCAACAGGATTGCTTCTTCGCTCCAGTCTCTTCTCAAGCCCAAGCTTTTGTTCCTGCTCACACAGTTTATCCTCATATGCGTCAGAACTCTGGTATGAACCACACCGGACATGAGGAGCAAACAATGTATCCTCGCCATGCAGGAGCAACGCCTCAACTGTATGGAGCACATGGGCAACCACTCGGTCCTGTGCCGCCCCCTTCTGGGCATGGAGGTTCTTCCGGGCATGGTCCTGGTCATGGTCCCCAGTACGAATATCCCGCACCTTCTCCTACAGGATCGTATAACTCTATGGACCGCGGCCAAACACCTCGCTCTCAAGACTCTGCAGCATATAGCACCCACGACCGTGCATATTCTTCTCGAAACCACGAGACTCTTCACAGTCCTCTCGAACACCCATCTCGATCTCACGAGCCTATGCATAGCCCACACGACCGTTCCCAACCACCTCGACATCACGAACCATTGCATCCTCAGGAGAACCCAAATGATTCTATGCGCACCCGAGATCGTCCATCGCCGACGGGCTCTGCAGAGTCATCATCTCGAAAACGACCGTCCGAGGACCAGCACGACTCGGTTCTTCCACCTCCAATGCCACCGTATGCACGCTCTGATAGCGCGAACAGGCGACAGGCACTCGAAAATGAGCATCGACTCCCGCCCTTGACACCAACGGGTGTTATGCCACCTTCGAATCACTCTCCTGGTTCTTCTATACCCCCGGCAGCAAATCTTCAATCTCGCCCAAACGGCCTCCCATCAATTACTCCACCTCTCCGTAATAACCTGGGCGGAGCAGGTCGTACAGATCCTATGAATTTGAACAACCTCCTCGGGGATTTCAACAACGACAGCAGGGCAAACGATGACAAGGTTTTATCTCGCTTCAATCCAAATCCTCGTTAGTTGCCATTCGAATTACTCCGTTTCCGAACACCGTTCAGGGTCTAGCCACCTCCTTCTGCGTGCGCCTGTAGAGTGGCACAATACCCATGAGTCGAATACGTTGTTGTGTTTGAAATTGGCACCAAAACTATCAAAGCAAAAACAAGACAATCTCATGGGAGCTTGTTTAATGATAAGATGAAGAATTGATCCCCCATCATCTTGGGTGGGGCTCACAAGGGAAGGAATTAATTAATGGTTTTTCTTCTTTCTTGTGTTTACAATCCGCGGTTGTTGTTTATTGAATTCTTTTTTCTTTCTGTCTTGTCTCATTTGCCATTTTTTTTGTTCCTTTTTTTTTTTTCTTCTTTTTTTCATGGGGTGTTATAATTTCACGAAATGAAAAACCATGTGTGGTAATGAATCATGGATTTCGCAACGGGGTGGGTAACAAATCTGGGGCTGGCTGGCTGGCTGGCATAGGCAAATAAGGGGGATTTGGGGGAGTCGCTTTTGGTTGAAAATAGATGGATCATTGCCTCACGGCAGAAATATTGTTTGGAGAGGGGGAGTTTTTTGTTACGTTATGTTGTCTACTTCTTCCTTCGCGCGTTTCTTGTTGAACGTTCTTCTGCTTCTCTGGCACATTTGTTTATATTCAAGTTTGTTGTGGCGATTGAGAGAATTGGATTCTGTGGTGGGGTGGAAGATTACTATGGGAGGCAAATTGTGGGTGTATAAGCGCATTGAGAGAGATATGTATTTTGCTTACATGTGGCAGTTGTTGAGTCTTGCTTTTGTTTTTTCCTTTCTTCGTTCGAGTGCTAGGGGTGTTGTGATACTTAGGTAGCGACATAGTTGAGAGTGATTTATGGGTGAGCAAAGCTTGAGTAGGTCTGGGTTGGGTTGGTGTGCGAGGAGGAAAATAATAATGAAAAGATGGATTGGAATGACGTACATAACCCTTCTTTTATTTCCTCCTTGTGGCTTTCGTGATGTGATTGTGATTGTCTAATTTGTAGCCAGTAAAAACCCGAGAATGGATTCTGTTACTGTAACATAAAAGAGACTTAAGAAATTAAGAAGAAAATCGGAGACAGATGTCTCAGAGGAAGATGGAACAAGAAAGACTATCCCTTAGCCCCTAATACCTCTCTACCCGCAGGTAGAACCTCCTAATTACACGTTTGCTTAATAGCATTCTGCCTACTTGCCACCGACTTGATTGGCGAGAGTACCAATTTCCAAGGCCAAACCCAATTAGGACGTTCTATCTATCCCTCCCAGACCAGAGAGGTGCCCATTCTTTCGTGCACGCAAAGTGGATATAAGTGGATATAAGTGGATATAAGTGGATGCAAAAATGGGTTAAAGTAAGGCTCAAATGCTTAGAAACGTAGCATGGTTGGTTAACCGATTTTATTATACGGGGAAAATGTTGTAAAAGTGGGTATCGTTAATCCACTTTGCGTGCACGAAAGAATTGGCACCTCTCTGGTCTGGAAGGGATAGATACAGAGGTGTTACGGAGGAAGGGATGGTATGGTCAAAAGTTCTTAATATCTTACACCTTCTCATCGCCATTTAATTTCCATCCTCTCTTGCTGTTTTCTTCAGCTATATATACATATATAAGGGAGAGAACGTATGAGTCCGCTCCCACCTTTGAGAAGCACAGTAGGGACTATCACAAAAGAGCACGGTAAAGGAATATCGTAGATTTCATGCCAAGCTTGGTGTTGAATTGGGTTGCTCGTAAGGGTACGTACTGTACGTAGGGTGGAAAAGTACTGTACCTAGGTAATCTACATGTAGAAAAATGGAAAGGAAATGAATTAAAGATCGGATCTACAAGAATCTACAAACCCATTCTATCACATCCTCCTATCTTAAGCAACTTATCCATCCATCCCTCCCTTACCGCCTCCAAATCACCCCCAATCCACCCCGCCCCTCAAACCAAAAGCGAACCCAACGAAAACAACCTACTGCAAATGCGTCGTAAAAAACAGCATCCCCATCCCCCCGGGAATCTGCAAAACCCCCTCATCAATCCCCATCGGATTCTCCACTTCCACTCCATCCCCACCATCTCCCCCTTCATCGCCTTCATCGTCATCTCCGTTAGGTCCTTGGAAATCCGAGTCGGAATCGGAACCCCAGCTTTCGATCCATTCATCTACTTTCGCTTCGTCGATCTCGTTGCTGATTTTCCAGTGCATGCTGGGTCCGGCGGGGCCTTGTTGGTTGTCCATATCTCTGTGCGGGCGGAGGTTAGTGTGACGAAAGAGGGAGGGGATGGGATAGGGGTAGGAGGGAAGAGGGAAAGGAAGGGGAGAGCTACTTGTCGAACCAATGGCCTATTACGCCTCGTGCTGAGCGGACGCCGCCTACTTGGATGCCTTCGCTTTTCCATCTTTCTTCGCTGTTGGGAGAGATATTATATCAGTAAAAGTGGCCAAACACGAGATTCAGAATTCCAGTCCCTCAGCTTGCCCCAAATCAAAAAGGAAGCCTCGTCGTTGTGTCAAAGATTCAAAAGAGAGAAGGAACATACCCATTGTATACACTACAAGTAGTCCACCTAACCTCCCCCTCCTTCGTCATCCTCACACAACCCCTAATATTCGAATTCGCATTCGGATCATGGGGAGTATGCAACGACCTCGAAATCCCCTTGAAAGTGACAACTGGCATCTTCTGATTAGGATCTGGATCAGGCTTCACGCTCGTGACCTCTAATTCCATCATAATCAGCCGGATGGCTTCGACGGTGGAGATGGGTGGTCGTGGTTGATCGTCTGGGATCTCGAGGTCGATTTCCCAGTTGTAGTATGAGAGCTCATGATAATCGAGGAATGTGACGGCCTATTTATCACAAAATAAGTAAAAGATTTTAAAAAAGGCAAATTTGCAGAGGGGGGAAACAAACTCTCATCCAAGACCCAGAAATGTTGTAAGGATCCTCCTCATGTCTCAACCCCGATGGCCTAAGCTCATCTAACAACTCAAGAGATCTGAAACTATCCCTCTGGCACCCAAGCCAAGGCTGAATGGAAAGCGGTCTCAATGCTCTCTCGGCCGCAGTCTCAAAGCTTTGCAGGTTCTTAGCGAGAACGATCATGATAGCCTCCATTTTCTCCCAATCCACGCTCGCTTCGCCGTCCGGTTGGAAGGGTCCCCAGAGCGAGTGATCGGTGTAATTCCTCATGTCGTAGACTACGGACATGGCGTAGGGATAGACATCATGGTAGCGAGTGGGATCTATGTGACGGATTGGGACCCCGCTGTAGCAATGTAGTTTTGCGCTTGCTTGTCGTGCCGGGAGGGATTTGGTGTGGTCTCTTGCTCGGTCTTTCATGGATCTGGTGTAGGTTAGGGATTGGAATAGGTAGTCTTCTATGTTTTTTCTTCCGCGTGCTGTTCCTTTATCGAAGTTACGAATTAGGAAGTTGATGTTTATGGACTCTGGTTCTGAACTGGCGTTTTCAATTAAAGAAACTGCTTTTTTAGCTGATATGAGGATTTTCTCTTCGTGCTGGCTTTTGTTAGTAGTGCTCCCAATGCGCGGGGAACGAGTCATACTGAAAGATTGATTTCCGTTGGGTATTCTCCATAAAGTGCTCGTAGGGCAACTAGATCTCTATGCTGCTTTTGCCAATCAAAGTCGCTTTTTTTGAATTCCACTGGTGGCTCATCCTATTCCAAGTCAGTGATACGGACAGATACCTCATGGAACTCGCCAAACGGAAACGATTTGAAGATTGGATATAAAAACACAATGCGTCCTAAAGTGCCCTCAAGACCCGCAATTGCTTTACGGAACAAACAAAAGCGCTTCGACATCCATCCCAACTACACGTCCTCTACCTACACCACCTTCTAGCAGTTGTCGAACAATTTCACAAACCAGCCCCCAGAACTCAAAAGCACCAAAAGCTCAACTTCCCACACTTGATTCTTGCGCATCTTCTTCTCATACATTCCCCGCCTCATCTTCACTCACGCTCTTCATCCGTTTGCACCCCAAACCCACAAGACCAACTCCCTCCACCCTCCCCATACCGAAAAAATAAAAGAAGAAACCAAAAAATAAATATAAAAATTCAAACTCACCAAAAACCCCCCTCCCCTCAACAACCCCCCATAAACCCCC